GTTTCCATTTGTCCGTTTGTGTATTTGATGTTGCCACGGCAGCATCGTCCCCTCGAGCTAGTTTAACAAACTCCTTGACCTCAGACTGCATCCTCCACACTTCCTAAATATTCAGCTTTATTAAAATGAGGCTGAAGACAAAAGGCCCGGGATTGTGCCCCCTCCACATTACCATAACTTCACTGCCCGCCTCTCCTCCCCAGGCTGCTGTTCTCCATTGGCATAGACACACTATACACTGGTGCATGGAAGCTGTGATCATTTGTATTTGTTTTTTTTTTTTTTATCTGAAACAGGATTTGAGCTTGGTATAATGTGATGGATTTACAGCATACATTATTTTCAGTCAAAGTGCAAATGGGTAAATATACGTAGGCTTAGTGTCTGTCTGTATTATGTTGCACCATAAGCATTTTCTGGTTGGTAAATAGTGCTGCTCAGTATATTGCTCAAACACAATTATTTACTGTAGTTAAAAACAATAGGTGAAATTATGTAAAACTGAATTTACATCATCGCAATGAGTGCAGTTTAGAGTATAGTTTAGTATTCTTTACACATTCAGTACAAAACAGTGAAATCACAAAATATCACATTATAAAACCATTTACATCTCTCGCTCTCTCTCTCTCAAAAAGCAAACAAAAAAAACTTACACACACGATCGTCACCACACTTAACAATTTTTTAAAAGATCTTTCTGTAAATGTTTCCAAGACCATGGGGCTTTCCCAGCTCATATAACCACAATTATAACCACACCAATAATTATTCTTCCAGGAATTTGGAATGATTGGTTCCAGTTTTGTTCAATATACCTCGGCGGTTATACTTATATCTTCACTAAAATCATTTGGATAATTTAAGGTGTCTAAAGTTTAAAAACACAGTGTAGCACTTCCTGTATTACCACATGACATACGACATGATATCATTGCAATGAGTGCAGTTTAGATTTAATCCTTATTCTGAATCCCCATTAGTTATTACCACAACAGTAACTATTCTTGAATTTGTGACAATTGGTTTGTATTTTGTTCAATATACCTTAGCTGTTATATTTGGGGCTGTTGTGTTCTTATAAAACGGTACTTTTTCTGGAAGTATGAAAACTAAAATAAGTGACTTCTATGGCTAATTATTGCTTCATTTATTATTATATTTTATTTTCAGGCTTTATTTGTTAACTTTATTTGCTATTTATTTGTTGCAGTTCATGCCCCTTCAGTGATACTGCAGATTGAAAATGTTTTACTGTGATTATCCTGTTTTTTTGTAATTGCATCAATGGCATAAAATAGTAGGGGTGTGCATAAATATTGAAATATCGATATATCGTATCGCTTAATGTGATGATACAGTATCGATATTGTGAGCTGCTGTATCGATATATCGCCAAGAGTACTTTTTGGTATATTACTAAATTATTTTGGTACAGTTACAGTTTTGTTGCTTGTTTAGAGGAAGGAAACTTTTTTATGCGACACATTTGACATTTTCACTGTTTTGATGAATAAAATGTTTGTGTTTCATATGAACTTTGCACAAAAAGTGGTTTAACAAAGACTTTTAGTATCACAGACATGATTTAGCCTTTATTTTTATTGAACTGTATCGATTTGATTTGAAATATATATCATATTGAATCGAAAGCTCACTGTATCGAGATATGTATCATATCGTGGCCTATGTATCGAGGTATGTATCGTGTCGGCAACTTATTAATGATACCCAACCCTGTAAAATAGTTTCAATATTATCATTTATCGTAATATATCTCTACAACAATATATTGTGCTTCCATTGTTGTTATCGTGACAGGACTAGAGGTTGACATAGCGTTGCACTGTTGCCTCAATAAGTGCCACTGGCCTCATAGTAAAGGAAATTCAGACTAATTGGCGGGAGGTACTGGGTAAACCTTGCATGAAATTCCCACCAGGAGCCCTTTGTGTGTCCCCTCAGCCTGCTCCTGTCTGTCGACTTCACAGTGCTCGCCCAGCTATGACGGCTGTGGTGCCAAGTTAGGAAAATAATATGAAGCTGACAGACAACCCGATATGAGGTGTATTAAATTATAGACGTGCGATTTTTAATTTGGCATAATATTTGCGCATGGCGTCCTTTCAGAATTAGGGTGCGTATCTGGGTATATAGGTGAGAGGAGGGAGGTGCGGGTCATGGTTTGGCTAATCCTTCGTGTATGGGACAAACTGTGCAGATCCAGTAGTGCTTTGTTCCATTGTTTATGCACTGATTGTTTGGACATATACACTCATCATGACAAAATACCTTCAGAAGATGGATTTAGAAAAGAAAAGTTTAGTGTGAGTGTAGAGATTTTAAGACCAATTTCATTAGACTGAAGTAAAGATAAGTGCCTAAGACGTAAAAAGACTCAGTGCTAGTAATCTCACAATAACACATTTTAAAGTGTGATATATTGCTGAAGAAATATAGACTATAAACGATAATATTGAAACTAATTTACGCCACTGACTCAAAAACTCATGAGCACATTTAAACCACAAAAACTATTTTAAATCTATTCTAAATCTACAATATTGTTAAAAATGATGCGCTGTAATAAATAAAAAGCAGAATGAAACACTTTAGTACTTAGTTTGCATCTGTAATGAATCACAGAAGTTCTTTATTGAATCTTTTATGGATTAAATCTCCCAAATAAATTTCTCAGTATTGCAAAAACAATGTACACACGATAAATGCTGACCCCAAAAAATATAGTTCCAGCTTTCATATATTGAACAATAAGTTGATAGTAATTATCGTGACAGACCTAGTCAGTGCTGTTACTGAGTCCAAGGTAAATGTGATCTTCTTTTCCGTAATCTGCTTTTGCATTTGGGGATGTTTGGGTATTACAGGTTTGGAAGAGGTCCGAGTCTTCAGGGGTTTAAAAGGGTGCATTGCAAACTCATTTTAAAATGCTTGCACCTTTATTTTAGGCTTGTTAAATAATGACACTTAAAGGTGCACTGTGTAACTTTTTTGGCTGGGTGTCACCTACTTGTTTCTATGAATATGTCATCGCTCTGCTTGAAATGTTCCATAGTCTAACATTAAACAGCTCTACCTTACATTCATCCAGTTACAGGTGGTTTTACTCCTTAAAAATATCTAAAAGCAGGGTTGCCTCTCCACAGATCTGACCTGTAACTTGGTCTGGTTTGGTCTCCATGAAAACAGAAAGGTTTAATACCATACTGTGAAACATTCCAGACAAAACAATAATATCTCCATGGAGAAAAGCATTTGTCAGACCCTCCACTAGAAAAGCTACACAATGCACCTTTAAAGGAGGAGTATAGTCTGCACCCTCAGTCAGTTTGATCTAGACTCACCTCTGGATGTTTGGCTGGTTTCCCTTCACACTTTAGGAGATACAAGGGCCAGCTCTGCTTTTCATTCACCCTAAATCAAATACATCTACACTGACAGTTTGTTTAAACCCAGCAGTAAAATCTGCTTTTGTTTAATTGAGTTCTCGCTTTTACAAATGTTGTTTACATTAGATCACTCTCAGATCATCAAAATTACAAGAATTTAAATATTCTCTTTAGACATTTTGGAAAAACAGCCTGCTAACATGCCAGGCCCCTTGTCCCTGTAGTGATGGGGCTGAGCACATAACACCTGCTACCAGCCAGCTTTACTCAGCTCCTGCCAACACCAGCATATGGCAGCCACACACTCTATGTACCCTGTATACAGAGACTATATTTGGAATCTGGCTGTCTGGTTTAACTTGTGTGAATGTCTCATTGTTATGCATGAATTTGCAGTAATTAGACATGCAGTTGTTTACAAGGCCAACATTGCAGCGCTCTTACAAAGCATTTTGTTGTTTCATTATAAACTTGTGTTCTGTGCAGCTTCAGGCTTTTTGGCATGGCTCATCAAATCATCTACCGATTATTCTCATAACCAGGAATGTGCCAGTTGTTTTTTGTTGCATAATTTAAAGGAAAAATCTGATATTGTAGAAGTATTAAGGCATCTATTTTTTTATTTTTGTTTTGTTCTGAATTATATGAAAACCTATTTTGACTGAACAAAACATTACTTTTGAATAGAAATATACTTCCTCACCAACATAAAAGTGAAATAATTATGATTTCAATTGACCCAAATCATTGTATGTAATACCACAGGCCTTCCACTTGCTTCAAAATTTGTATTTCATAACCTGTTCCAAACATGGCATACTGACATTGTACCCTTTGGCCAGACACTTTACACACTTCAGCCATTTTCCCTCTGTTGTTTGTTGCATTTTATCAGTCAGTCCGTCTCAGTGCATACTACCACTGTGCTGTCATTCAATGAATATAAACTAATTTGATCATACTAACTACTGAAATGAATAAACATTTGATAAATTTCACTTAAATGTAGTCCTCCTTTTACTTTCTGAACTGAACTCCTGAAATAATTTAACGTCAGTATTCTTAAAGGGCCCATATTATGGTATTTTCTAACCTATATTATAATGTTTTTCCTCATCAAAAACACACCTGGAGTTGTGTTTTGTTTCATTCACACATATTTCACACTGCATGTTTAGGCTGAGCTCTCTGTTCCACATTGTGATGTCATGTGGTAATACAGGAAGTGCTCTACTGTGTTTTTAAACTCCTGTTTTATACACCTTCACTAGAATAGCTTGATGACTTCAGCAATTCAGAATTTAGAATTTTTAATGTCTACTAAAGAACAGGTAAAATGTTTCATGACATCACAAGGTGGAACAGAGCATTTTGAGCTTTGGAAATGTAGACAGACTAACAATAAAGTCTTACTCAAACATGTGTGAATGAAACAAAACACAACTCCAGGTCTGTTTTTGATGAGGTAACAACATTGTCACATGTCTTAAAGCTCACAAGAGTCAATTTTGCATAATATGGGCCCTTTAAGTCTTAACAACCTACTTTGAAGACGCTCATATTTTTCACTGTGTGTGTGTTTGACTGCAGTATGACCCAGAGCACTCGGGCTTCATCAGTACGGAGCGGTTCAGGGACCTACTGGCCACTCACAGCTCCGAGATTGACCCTCACAAACTGGAAGTCCTTTTGGCCCTCGCCGATGGCAATGGCAAGATCTGCTACCAAGACTTTATCAACTTGGTGAGACATTTGAGGGTCAACCGCTACATACAGCACATTAGGTTCTTATCTAGTGATTAATGAATATGCCAGACGAAGCATACAAGGAGTCTAAATTTTAACTTTTGAACCATTTACAGGTGCAATGAGCAATTTTTCTGCTGGAGGTCCGCCACCTGCTTGTCTCCATGGAGATGTTATTGCTTTGCCTGGAATTTTTCTTGGTATGACATTAAACATACCTGTCCAGTATTAATTACGGGTGTTTCTGTTGCTCAAAAATACGTTTCCTTCTGTGAATAAGGGTGACTGTCCTCAGATCTGAATCGGAATATACCATAGTGCTGTTACCTGCCTGTCTCCCTCATGATGTTTTAATCTATGTTGTGGAACATTTTAGACAAAGCAATAACATTTCCATGGAGACAACTAGAAATGTTATGCAGTGCACCTTTAAACATTTTAATTATTTCCAAATTTGCTCTCTACCTCCCCGTAAGTGCTGATAAATGCTTGTTAACTTTCACTGGGTCCCACTTTTAGTTTCAGCATCCATTCTCCTTATAGTTAAAAGTCTCCTTCAAACATCTTTCACCGCCTTATCCATTTTGTTCTGCTTATTGTGGTCCAAAAGGAAGCTTTATAGAGCTGACCTGGGACAGTCTGTTGTGTTGGGAGTGTGATGACAATAAGCCCGGGAAGATGGAGGCGTATAGACATTGTGGAGAGGGCATTGTTGTCTGAGACTGAGACCACATTCATCCCTCTGTTTCTCGCTGTATTGCCTGATACAGGGATGGACCAATAAGCTGTAAGAAACTTGAGGAAAGACAAATTTTGGATCAAATTCTGCTGGATGTAGGACAGAAAGAATTTGTTTTTTTTTTTTATTATCATTTGGCATCGTTTCTACCAAATGCAAAATCTAAAAACATGAATCTAAAACCATATGATAAATATGAAATATGCAGTTCAGCTCTGTATTTTTAAACCATTTTCATATTGAGTTTGATTTAATTAAGTTTGGCATTAATAAAACATTCTTAAGTAAACCTGGATCATGGTAACTGTAGTGGGTTAGCTTTGGTTACCCTGACTTTGGGAATATATTATAATTGAACTAAACCAGGCTTATAATTTTAACTAGATTTAGGTCCACAGTGGAACAATGAGCACCATTGTGAGTCTGACACAAACCATCTACATTTCTTAAAATTAAAAACATATTTTCTTCTTTCAAGTGCCAAATTTGCTGAGAACAAGCTTTTAGTCTTAATAGTGAGTCTTGTCAATTGCATAAACAAAGCTTCAAGGCCAAATGTCTTTTCCTCATTTACCTCCTAGAATAATGTGGGAGGAATGTTAAGAATGTAAATACAATGTAAATGACCCTTAAAAGTGAATTGTGATGATCGAAGGCAACATGACTATGGAATAAACTAAGGAATCACACTGGGAGTGTTCTGTATGTACCTCTATGGTGGAATGTTCAGCAGTATACCATGGAGACACAATGCACACATTAGCAAACACCATCAAAAAACATTTTAGATGGTCTGAAAACTCAAGAAAAATGGATATAAACACATTTTCAGGAGCCTCTGATCAATTCAAACTTTCATGATCCTGTTTAGGTGTTTGATTTTCAACAAAAACGTGACAGTCACAAACTGAAAAACTGTTGGCTAATGCTACATGACTGTAATTTTATGTGTGAGACTTGTTTAAAGAAATCATCTCATCTGTTGTAGTTCCAGCTAAGGCAGCTCTTTCTCATCAAATTGTGTTAAAATAAAGCTCAGATTTAAGTCTAATAGAGCTTCTGACAGAGTAGTGCCTACTGATAGCATCACACCCCCAGTTAAAATTGATGACATCAGCCGCAATATTCAGTATTCAAAAATGTACTTTGCCTGGTTGAATTCGCATTCTCAAATTTTATTATTCAAATGTCAAATTTTCAGGTGGAAATCAGAGCTTATATTTTTCAGTGTGCAACACACTATTTCTGAAAAACTTATTCTAATAGGAACCCCTCACATTTTTGAGTGTATCTTTTTTTATAGGTTGATAAGCATGTTAATCTTTTGTCTTAAAGCTCCTATATTATGCTAAATCGACTCTTGTGAGCTTTAAACCATGTTAGCATGTTGTAACCTCCTCAAAAATTTACCAGGAGTTGTGTTTTGTTTCATTCACACATGTTTGAGTAAAATCAGAATACTCTGTTCCACCTTCCACCTTCATGAATTGGTAGTTTTCCAGTTAACAGCTACATTTTACCTTTTGTTCAGTAGAAATTGGCTAAATTATTCTAGTGAAGGTGCATGGAGTTTAAAAACACTGTGGAGCACTCAGCCCAAATATAAAGGGTTGTGTTAAACATGTGTGAACTAAGTAAAACACCACTCCGGTTGTGTTTTTAATGAGGAAACATTAGAACATAGATCAGAAAATAGTGCAATATGGGCTCTTTAAACAACTGTCACCTGTAGAACACAATATGAGAATTATTTGACCTCATTTGCAACAGTGCATGATGACACTTGAATGCAACAGTGCATGTCAGAATCCTTTGTGTAGACCAAATATGGACACTTAAGTTGTGGCAATGCTCTCCTCTGTCATGATTATAGTCAGTAACTGCACAGCCCCAGCTCCATCACTGCAAAGACTCCAATCACAGCTCTGAATCCCTACATCCATCTCCTATGCACTCTTCACCCTGCTTTCTCTGTTTAAGTTCTGCTTTTTTCTCACTGCCACATTCTTATCTAAAGCTTTCTGTCTCTCTATTTTGCTTGGCAGCTCCTCGTACATCACGTCTGGCTCCTGCTGTGCTTGTGGCTGTCCTCTGAGGTGCCTCCCAAAATGTGTCTTGGAAGGAACCTCACAGGACAGTCATATAACTTTAAGATGAAGTTAGAAGTTTTAATGGTAAAGAGAACTTATGATCTATGAGACTTAGCTTTATATGTGCTACTACTATAACTGCTACTACTACTACTACTGCTAGTACTACTACTACTGCTACTACTACTATTACTAGTACTACTGCTACTACTACTATTACTAGTACTACTGCTACTACTACTATTACTAGTACTACTGCTACTACTACTATTACTGCTACTACTGCTACTACTACTACTACTATTACTACTGCTACTACTACTATTACTGCTACTACTGCTACTACTACTACTACTATTACTACTCCTACTACACCTGCTGCTGCTGCTACTGCTGCTGTTACTACTGCTAGTACTTCTACTACTACTGCTACTACTACTCCTCCTGCTGCTTCTACTGCTGCTACTGCTGCTGCTGCTACTACTACTACTACGACTACGACTACTACTACTGCTACTACAGCTACTACTACGATGATGACAACGACAATGACTGCTACTACTACTACTGCTACCATTACTACTACCGTGACTACTACTACTACTATTACTGCTCTACAGCTACTACAACTACTGCTACTACTACCACTACTTCTACTGCTACTTCTACTACTACCACTACTACGACAATGACTACTACTACTACTACCGCTACTACCGCTACTACTACTACTGCTCTACAGCTACAACTACTGCTACTACTACTACTACTACTACTACTACTACTACTGCTACTACTACCACTACCACAACTGCTACTACAACTACTATTACAATGACAGCGATACTAAAACTAGCATAGAAACTAGATACTCATTTGAGCAAGTATCAATACTAAAAAGTCACATTCACAGGACAGAAATGACCTTTTTCTGACTAGTTTTAGAATGATTTTGAGCGGTATCAGCACAAGTATAAGACCACATAGTTTAGTATATGCCCATGGACCACTATTGAACCTACCTGGACCACTGAGGGATTACACAGATATAAGACTATTATTAAGTTTATTCCTGAGTATTGAAATCAAGTTTGAAATTTCAGTATCGTAACAACACTACTAGGAGCAATGGCCTCAACCTTTATCTTGAAACTAAATTACTAAAGGATTTAAAGAGACAATATTATTACATTTTCAGTCATTGAGTTATCTTGCCAATGCCATCCAACTACACAAACAAGCCAAAACCATAACTTCCTTTTACTCTTCCTTTTAAAGATCTAGATTCAAATGGGTTTCTTAATTACTGTGAGCTGCTTCTGCTCCTCATCCCTGGGCTTTGATCGTCTGTCTCATTGATCAAACAGTAAAATTGTTTGTGGCTCAATGCCCAGTTCCACCTTTTCTCCTCCTCTTCTTCCTCTCAAACAGACTGGATGACACTTTTTTAAATTGAAATTGCAGTCAGTTCACACAAAGCATTGAGGCTTATTGGACAACGGTTGCTTAGGTGAGAACTGTGTGTGTCTGTGTGCGTGTCTGTGTGTCTGTGTGTGTGTGAGCCTTATTTGTTTGAGGGACTTTATAGCAGCAGTGCAAAAAGTGACCATGGTAACCTGTAATCATTTTCCCACAGTTTTCCTTTGCATACATAAAAGCTGAAATAATTGGCTTTTCCTCAGTAGTCTTCAAATAGTGATTTCTCCACAGACATGGCCTCATTAAATTGAACAAAGGGATATTTAAAACAAGGTTTTTATGGGCCTGATGTTTTATTATCAGGACTTTTACAACATTTTAGACCAAACACACCAATAGGCAGAAATGTACTAAAGGGCCCATATTACACTATTTTCTGATCTATGTTATAATGTTCTTTCCTCATCAAAAACAGACCTGGACTTGTGTTTTGTTTCATTCACACATGTTTAACACACAAAACCGTTTTTCTCTCAAAATGAAAACACTTAGTTCTACCTTGTGATGTCATGTGCTAATACAGGAAGTGCTCCATTGTGTTTTTACACTCCATGCACCTTCACTAGAATCATTTGGGTCATTTCAGCCCTGAAATTTCCAATCACTACTGAACTAAAGGTTCAGTAGCGGACAGCTGTTAACATGAAATTTACTACTTCATTGGCACCATCCGTTTTTTTTCAGTATATGTAAACCTGTTTTTTGAATTTAAAACGTGTAGATGTGCAAGAGTAAGAATGTGTAAATCTTTGCCCAGCACTAAAGCTACTATTTCTTGCCTTATTAGTTCTGGTAATGAGAGCTGGAGCCGTGCATTGTGCCTGTCTTTGTGAGTCAGAGGAAACCTGGACATAATGCCAACTGTATTTCGGGGAATGAATGTTTGTGGACAGAAAGAGGTGAAGTGCAGGGTTTGGTGGTTGCTAGGAGATGGGACAGGCATTCAGTTTGTGTGGCAAGAAAAAAGGGTCTGCCACTGTTGGAGTGGGGGGGTGTGGTCCAAAAACTGGAATTTACCAATCTACATCACAAAATACATGCATAGATACTCAAGAGGCTCTCTATCCCCAACTTAGAAAAATATATAAATAAATAAATAGGAATAGGAGTCATGATTGCACATTTCAAAGTGCAAGATACTGTATTGCTGAAGTAAATATAGAACTTAAACAGTCATTTTGAAACTAGTTTATGCCACTGACACAAAAGCCCAAGAGCTGTTAATTTCAGCTCCAATAAATAAACAGCAGAATGAAACATTTTAATACTTAGTTTGCATCTATAATGAGGCACAGAAGTTATTAATTAAACCTTCTACAGCTCAAATCTTATCATATAACCAAAAAATAACTAACAATTTCCCTGTAGTGCAAAGAAAAAGTACTGATACTGAGCCCCTAAATATATTGCCCCATCTGTCATGCATTCAGTGATAAGTCACAATAGTGTTTATCGTGACAGTTCTACATATCAGTATCAATTATATTTTTGTATGTCTCTTTCCAGATGACGAACAAGCGGTCCAACAGTTTTCGGAGGGCCATTCTTCAGGGCAGTCGTCAGCTGAAGGGGTGTAACCTGCGTGACGAGGTGGGTCTGGGGCTGTCTCAGAGGCTGGTGCGTCACGTCGCCTATGAGACCCTGCCGCGAGAGGTGGACCGCAAATGGTACTTCGACAGTTACAACTACTGCCCCCCACCCTGGCTCATCCTGGCCATCACCATAGCAGAGGTCAGTTTGTATTCTTTTAGTTTATTCTCAGTATTTTAAAATTGTGTTGTAAAAATTTACCCGATAGAGACAATTTTGTTTCCTCATCTAAAACACACCTGTGAGTTATGTTTTGTTTCATTCACACATGTTTAACACACAAACCATGCATATTTTAGTTCTTCTCTGAAACAGAGAAGTTCCACCTTGTGATGTCATATGCTAATACAAAACGTGCTCCACTGTGTTTTTAAACTCCATACACCTTCACTAGAATCATTTAGATAATTTCAGCCCTGGAATTGCCTCTCTCTGAACAAAAGATAAAAGGTAACTGTTAAATTGACAACTACATGACATCACAAGGTGGAACAGAGCATTTTGAACTTTGAAAATGTAGACAGAGTAATAATAAAGGAATAGTCAAACACATGTGAATGAAACAAAACACAACTCCAAGTATGTTTTAATAACAGTAGTATAACATGGCTTAAAGCTCAGAAGAGTAAATTTTGTGTACTATAGGACCTTCAAGCTTTTTGATAATTTCTCTTCAAAAACATGTATTTTCACATTTTTGTTGAATTCACATATGTCTAAATTACCTTGTGATCCATCAGTCATCTCAGCTCATATTTGCCATTACAAAATGTTGATCTGTTACCATCATATTTGTAATAACTATCTGATGGCCCTTTACGCTGATCACTCTGCCTGAAATTCAAAGGAAAAAAATGTCAAAATAATAGAGCTATAACTGCTAAAGAACAGATTTTGATATAGATGTCCATAATAACATATGTATATGCTGATTTTGTCCTTTGACTGTGTCTCTACTTTGGCAGGTAGCAGTCTTCATATATTATGGGTTCAAGCTGGATCGTCTGGTGCTGCAGGTGTCCAGTCCGTTGTTCCTTAAGAGCCCTTTACCGTACCATCCTCAGCTGAGAGCGCAGGCCTGGAGGTATCTCAGCTACATCTTCATGCACACAGGGTAAGTCTGTATACATAATACAAGATACAAGATCAGCTTTTCGATCAGTATAATGATACTACATGCAAGGTTTAGTATGGCTTTGGGGAATTTCTTTGCAGTGGTAAACTTGGGGTTAAGCAGCAATCTCATAATCCTAATGAGATTACTTTTAACAGCTTCATTAAAGGGCCCATATTACACTATTTTCTAAACTATGTTATACAGTTGTTTCTTCATCACAAACAAATCTGGAGTTGTACTTTGTTTCAATCACACATGTTCAACACACAAATTCTGCATATTTAGGTTGTTTCCTCAAACAGAAAACACATGTGGTAATACAGGAAGTGCTCCACTGTGTTTTTAAATTCCATACACCTTCACTAGAAGCATGTGTATAGTTTCAGTGCTGTAATTGCCCATCTCTACTGAACGAAATATGTAGAAGGAGCTGTTAACTTGAAAACAAACCTTTCATGACATCACAAGGTGGTGTAGACAGACGAATAATAAAGTATTACTCAAACATGTGTAAATGAAGCAAAACACAACTCCATGTTCTGAAGAGGTAAAAACATTATAACACAAGGGTCAGTTATTATAGGAGCTTTAAAGTACACTTAAATGAATGTGTAAAATGGTCTTCAATATAATCATTTATCAAGGTGTTTTTCTGTATCCCCCTAAGTCCACACCCCTGTGCCAGAACAGAGAATCAATATGTAAAATAAATGAATGTCAGATAGCCGGTAATCACAGCCCGGGGTAATTGTTATTCCTGGGTAGAACTATTAAAATGGTAATTGAATTAGAGGGAGCCGGAGGTGAGCAGATGCCAGTGAACAGAAAAGGACAGATTTAGGTGTTTAACATGCATTGATTGTGTTGAAGAATAATAAAAACTTATCTTGAGTGAAAATGCTGTTTTGAAATTGAGTGGAAATGCAAGCCTGTGTGCCCTTTTGTTCTTATAAGCTTGGGAAAATGGGCATACAGCTAAGCTAAATATATACTCATCTATATCTTATGCAAATCACTGTACAAGACATCATCATTTGCTGTAGAAAATAAAGCTAAATGAAAAGCGGTTCAGAAGGTAATATTTTTCACTTGAAGCAGGTGATTTTACAGAAATGATTGACAGCTGCGGGTCTTACATGCAATTTCTCTATGAGTGCTCAGACAAGACTATATATTTACAGTAGAGCTCACAAAGGATCTACTGAAGCTGTCAATTCACACATGCACACAAACACATACACACACATGCACACAAACACACACTTTTACACACACACAAAGCATCTAATCCTGTCAACAGCACTACAGTGACTTTGATCCTACCCAGTTCTCAGCACCAAATCTAAGTACACTAGATTTATTCTGCAAAACTGTGACATTAAGAGACGCCTAGTCAAAAACACTCAAAAGTACTACCTTCACATTTTTGTTTTGCTGCACGCTAGCTTCTTCGACTAGAATCGATAAACCATATTGTTGTCTGACGTCACGGCTCATTGGACTTTTGCTATTTTTAAACATTTGCAACAATGAGAGAAAAAGCACCCCACAGGAGTTGGTATTTTCGCTCAGTCATAGGCAGCACTTCTCAAATCTGTTTAACTCTATATATGTCCATTTTGCAGGACAATTAAAGGTCCTATTTTATCCAAATTTGACTCTTGTGAGCACTTTGTCATGGGCACATCACCCCTCTGTAATGAAGAAAATTGGCTTTGACCTCACCATTCTGTAACAAACTAATGTGAAGAGAAATTGTTACGGGTCATATTTTGAAGACTTACTGTGATGTACCACTGAGAAAGAAGAGACTTTGAAGCTCTAAAGGACACAGTTTTTTTGCGTGTAATGATCAGAATCCATGAGGGCCATTGGGTACATTTGCAGTGGTCTTTAATCTTGTGTTTTGGGGTCTTTAAGCTTGTCTTTGTACATGTGTTTGGGTGCATTCAAGTGTGCGATGGACACTGGATGTGGTCTGATGGAGGAGCAGATGTTTCTGAATGTGTGTATATGCAAGATTAAACAAATGTGAACTAGCAAAGATTGCATTGACTGCAGACTGCATTGTAATCAAAACCCATACTGTAAGGCAAGGTTTTATTAAACTAAATGTTTAATGAAATATATAAAGTATTAATGAAGAGCTAATTTGCAAAGAAAGATAAGTGAAATTTTATAAAGCCATGCTATTTACTCTTTGTATAGTTTTGTTTTCAAATGTGAAAATATTTTACAGCTATCAAAAATTATGCCATCCCTCTTTGATTAAATCAACTAAATATTCTATTATATTGACCTTTTCAAAATGGAGATATCTGTTGTCACAACTGAATTCTTTAAAGGCACATTGTGTAACTTTTTACAGTATGGCATTAAACCAGGCAAAGCAAGGCAAGTTTATTTATATAGCACAATTTGTACACAAAGTAATTCAAAGTGCTTTACATAATAAGAAATACATTACAATTGCAATAAAAACAAATCAAAACATAAATAATCATAATATCATAATATAATATCATATCATAAAATTAAACCATTCTTCCCTGATGGAGACCAAACCAGACCAAGTTGGAGGTCAGATCTGTGGAGAGGCAACCCCGCTCATAGTCAGTTTTTCTATCTATTTTTGAGCTATAAAACCACCTATAACTTAATACATTAAGGCAGAGATGTTTAATGTCATACTATGGAACATTCCAAGCAGAGCAATGACATATCCATTGAAAGATGCAGGTGATGGACCTACAACCAAAAAGTTACATATTGCATCTTTAATAAAATTACATAAAAAAGTCTGTTTTTCTATTTTTTTTTTTCAGGATTGAGCATCTAAGTCTGAATATGGCTATGCAGCTCTTGGTGGGGGTCCCTCTGGAGATGGTCCATGGAGCCACGAGGATCGGGCTGGTCTATGTGTGTGGCGTGTTAGCAGGTGGGCTGTCTCTCACACACATGTTTAACTCATTCATATACATATTCATGATCCACTTATCCGCCTCTCGCCACATAGGGCACACCCCCGCCTACTCATTCAATTGAAATGCAGCGTAGGCCTATGGAGTGGACTGTTGTTCTCCAAGGCTGTTGTTAGTATGCATTCAAGGTCTTGTCCGAGCAGTATGCGAGCAGATTCAGTTCTATGGTAAAATGCGTGCATCCAGTTGTGGGGCAGATGGTGGTGGGATGGTGTCTTGATAGCAGACATGATGAAATGGGGGCTGTCAATAGCACATCAAAGCTCCTACGTCTTTGTTCAATCAGAAAAGAACACATAAAAGGGTTCAGAATAAGATGTTTCTTTGGTGTTTAAAGCTGTTTAAGGACACCATCACAAGGTTATTGCTACATTATTTGAACCACCAAAATTTACTAATTCTCCCTGTCTCACTCTGGTACAAATCAAGATGGTTTTGTGATTAGAATATCTAATCATTTCTTTGTAATTGCCCATCACTGACCCTCCTGAAGATTTAATTGAATAAACACTAGATTGCCTTTTTAATCTTTTGCCCAAATCATTTGCTTGTCGAGTCAAATCACTAGAGACTCGACATCAAACGTTAGCTGAACTTTACAAAGACGAGTGGATCTGGTGCCGTATCCTGTCTCCCTGATTTCAGAGGGTGTGATTAACAGACGGCTTAAACAATCAGATGGTCCCTTTCATGTCTAAAACAAATAGGGCTGCTAACTCATAAAAAAGAGGGAAAACCAATACACAAATCACAGAGAAACAGCACAGATTTTTACAGAATCAACAATTGGATCACCAAACTATTATTTTCATCATTCTCAGGTAAAAGAAATTTTATATTTTGTTCCGAATGTTATGAGAATTTGGGAGAGGAGAAGTCTTCTGCATTTGAGATACACGTGCTACAAATTGGTAGCTGTGGCTGGACCGCCTCAAGTTAAGATGGTGCTTGGTTCCTGTACCTTCTGGATTCGAACAAAATGTAGAAGGCGAAAAAAAAATTATATGGGTCAATCATGTAGCCTACATAGACCTCGGGTAGAAACGCTATGGAGGTCTGTAGCTTTTACTTCATTGTAAACAAACATACAGTCTATATCAGACAGACACTCTCTTGCCCGCCTCACACTTTAATTAGTTATCGACCACTGGAGCCAGAGCACAGACATGTCCTGTTGTGGCCACTCATGTTTGGATTGCTGCTTTTACAAATTTTTGTGTAGAGGACACTGGCCAAGGTCAACCTGAAAAGATATATTTTGGGTTAGATTCAGCAAAAGACAAGATTTTATTCTCTGCTACTCCATCCATAAATCTAATCTTTTGTATTCCTCTAGGCCTTCTACTATTTTCTGGCTTGTTGGTTAATTAGCTCATTAAAAAGTAATTGAGTTTGAATACATTTTAATTAAAAGCCAGTAATAGAAATAGATGTCGTTTTGCTGGGAAACAAGAGGGGTCAATTGATTGTGCGTTTATCGCTGACCTACCCTGGAGAATTTCTATAGAAGAGTTTAATAGTAAGCAGTTACTATTTACACTGTTGGACAAGAAATTAAATATAAAAATAATGTTAGTGAGATGCTCTTTTTGTGAATCTACTCTAATCAGGCTCAGCTGTCATACAGAGGGGTCAGGGCAAAGTTCAAAGGTCAAGTAATGATTCAAAGGGCAGTCAAAATCCCAAAGGCGTGATGGCAAATGGATATTTTGGAGGGCTGAGATAAGAGTACAGAAAATTAAATAAAGTGCTTCCATAATGAGTAGTGATGTGTATTATTATTGCCATTACGTCCCCGTCCTCCATCTGCTGTTCGGAGGATAAATGAGCTGTCACTTTGTACAAAAACGCAGGCCACAGAGGAAAAGCTCTAGCTGTTTTTTGGTTGGTGTCCTTGTTAGTCTGAGTTCAAGGCCCCTTTAAAGTACCTCAGTCATGTTATTAAACCTCAAGTCATTTCAGGAATTGGATCACATGTATTTCAGACACTAGGGGATATATAAGTCCTTGCGTTAATAGTTAAAATATTTCTTCGTGATCAGTTTTGGGGAAAAGAATAATCTACGATTGAACTATGATGGGTCTCAGACATAAGGATTCCTTCCCGATTTTAAGGACGGCCCTACATTGTTATAGTAATAATGTCTTTCAAATCAAATATTACATCTTTTAAATGAGGAAAGGTCCTCACAAAATCCTTCAGTTCAGCAGTGAATCATTTGTCTGTAACACATGAATAGATTTAGACAGATTTTATTTTATTTTTTATGTAAGTTCAGTTATGAGTGTTCTTCTCAAGTTCTTGTCCAACCACACTGCAAAGGAAAACTATGGTAATTATTGAATCTTGTTGGCACAAAGTCTTAAAAGAACCATTTAACATAGCAAAGTTCATCCTTGCTGTATGTCTATCATTTGGACAATATCACTGCAATAACATCCATCTTTTTAGGGTCACTGGCTGTGTCTGTCACTGACATGACTGCTCCAGTGGTTGGTTCATCTGGTGGAGTGTATGCCCTTGTATCAGCACACCTGGCTAATGTTGTAATGGTAAGTATGTTTATGTTTTTATATTTCTATGTTATATTTGTGGCCCTTGCTTGCTTTCTAAAAATATAGAATAAGAAATTGAGCAGTGATTGTGTAATGATTATGATTATCACTACACACTGTACCATCTCTGCAAACTCTAATTAAAAACAAAATGTGGCTTTTGTTGTACCCATCACTGTCTATAACAAGGTCACTGTACAACCATTAAAATACAATATACATTAAAACAATTAAAGTTAAATTATAGAAAAAGACAACATATGCCCGTATTGTCCAACACCTCTGTATGCATCAGGTGCTCAAGGTGAGCTTCTATTATGTGTAGATAAGCTTAGTTATTATATACCTTTCCACAGCCACCACAATAATCTGCGGGTCGAGATGGAAATGACCTACCCTCTCATCTCAAATCACATTATTTCACCCAGACAGAGGAGATTAGGGGTCAGACTGCATCTGGACAAGTGGAAATTGACATGAATTGAGGCACGCAGGGACCATGTCATGTCAGAGGACTTTGTGTGTCCAGATGAAACGTGACCTTTTGGCATAAGTTGTTCCGTACTTTGTATCTGAAAGTGTATATGTCCTTTTTGATTCTGTGTCCTCTTTCTCATTAGAACTGGTCGGGAATGAAGTGTCAGTTCAAGTTATTCCGCATGGCCATGGCTCTTGTTTGCAGTAAGTTTAATCAAATAAAATATATTATACAGTAGCCTATATGAGGTTGTCCCAAAACAATCGATTTTTGTTACCTTTTTTTTTCTTTTCTTTTTTTTCATAATAATAATAATGATAATGTAATAATCACTCAAACAATCGCACAGACTAAAGGCTCATTTGTGCCACTTTTTTTTTTGTTTTCCATTTTTTTCATCATGTTTCTAATGTTAAGACCACATTCACCTAAACAACCACCAGGGGGCGCTAAAAGTCAGTTTGCGAATTTACCAAAACAGATTAAATAGAGCAACAAATAAACAAGCATGGAGAGGCAGAATCACATCTGCTGGAAAAGATACCAGAAATGTACTAGTAGGTGAGAGGAGCATTTATTTGTTTTGCAACTAGATCTAGTCACTTTTTAGAAATATTTACCCAAATCTATCAATAGAAATTTGACTGAAAGGTTCACATTGGCCGAGGCAGAAGTTCTAATTCTGGACCCCCCCCCCATTTCTGGAGGAGGGCCAGTCAAATGCTTTTCTCCATAGAGCTGGGATTCCTTTGTCTAGAACGCTTCACAGTATGACATTAAACCTTTCTATCTTCATAGAAACCAAACCAGACCACATTACACGTCAGATCTGTGGACACTGGAGAGGCAATCCCACTGATAGCCAGAATGCCTGTTTTTCTAGGGCTATAGAGCTATAAAACCACCTGCAATTGAGTAATTTTCAGCTGTTTAATGTCATGCTGTGGAACATTCCAGGCAGAGCAATGGCATATCCATAGAAACAAGCAGTTGACAGACCCCAACAAAAAGTTACATAGTGCACTTTTAAGGCCAAAAAAACATGCAATATAGGTCTCCAGGAAGAGTAGCTGATGGGAGGTCAATTAAATGGAGGTCAATTAAATACATCAATTATGATGTATGTCAATGTTCCTAATTCATTTCTCTGTTCTCTTTACAGTGAGTGTTGAGTTTGGTCGTGCTGTGTGGCTCCGGTTTTACCCGCCAGCTTTTCCTCCATGTCCCAACCCAAGCTTCGTGGCCCACCTGGGAGGCGTGGTTGTGGGTTTGACTCTGGGTGTGGTTGTCCTTCACAATTATGAGCAAAAACTTCAAGAGCAGTCGCTGTTCTGGATCTTCTTCTGTGTCTACACCTTGTTTGTGTTATGTGCTGTTTTCTGGAATATATTTGCATACAGCTTGCTTGACGTGCGACTCCCCCCACCACCGTGACTTATGGGGAGAAAGTGACAGTTTGTAGTAGCACTGGTATAACTGTTAATGTGAGAATCATGTGAATGGCACACATATATAGTCTTAACACTGAACACACAAATATGCTGGCCACATTATGCAGTACATTTGTTATACTTCAAAATGCAAAAAAAAAAAATTAACAAATGCACCAAAAAACATTTAAATTTACAGAGGTACTTGAGTACTTAGATAGAGATATTGTACCTCTCAGAGTAGTTTTTAGACACCACCGTTTCACTTCTACTTTAGTCATATTTAGTTTGAAGTACTCTTACTTTAGTAAAGGTTCTGTTCCTCTTCCTACTGTGCGTAATCCTACAAGAAAAAAGCTTTATGTTGATAATATTAAATTATTTGAACATATCAATTTCTTGCACCATTCCTTCATATATAATTTTAATTTTTCAAAATCTTGTGAAGTATCCTTTGAAAATACCATATTTTGAGCATTATGGATTTGTCCTTCCAACTTCAAATTTTAAATCAGATATTACATCAAGACCCTCATACTTGATGTAAGGCAATTACTTATACTTGAGGAGTAGTTTTCCCAAGCACTGTTTTACTCTTACTTGAGTAATTTCTTGAACCACTAATGTAACTTTTAAGTAATATTACTCTTACTGGAGCACGTTGGTTACTTTACCCACCTTGGCCAATAATGAGTTTTGACCTTCAGTGAGAAGTTACTGCATTCCACTCTGTGTTTCTACCCAGTGATTCTTGTAATTAGAAGTGTTCTATGTGTACTGTCTCACAATGTGGCTAGAAATGTTACACATTCAAAGGCCTCGGATCTCCTTGTCATGCACAACCCAGCGGTGCCTACAAATTTAGCACACTTGCCTTTTGTGTGGGGTAACTCAAGCTCAACCCTGCAAAATGTTGATATTGTTATGACTTAAAAGCTTGTGGTTTGCTGCAAATCAGAAGAAAATATAAACCTCTGGAATCAACTGACACTTCTGCAGTACAGCCCTTATATTAAATATGCTGTGTGAGTACCTTTGATGCTATAGGCTACTGTATGTAATTTATTGTTCATTTTACTTTTTGTTGGCTATTTGGAACTAACTTACAAAAGTTTTCAAATAGAATGGAAGGTGTGGTGGTGATATTATGGTGTCTATGTATATAAAAGTGCCATTCAGACTTTTTTAGCTTAAACTGATGCCAAAACACTGACTCAAGCACTTCAGAGCAACATCATTTTAACTTTGAATAGTGGAATGTTTATTTATCATTTGTTGATATAGGTCTGCTTTGTCCACAATTGCTTAATCTCTCATCTAGCCATAAAAGTATTCAAGACCTTTATCAGCATATTAAGAATGAGTATACTATTGAAAATTTGCATTGACAAACAAAAGTATTTTTAATTTTTACCATAACCAAATATAGGTATGCATACACATCTAATGCCAACCTGCATGCTCAGGTTATGTTATGTTGCAATTACAGGACAATACTCCCTCATTTGGCAACAACCTAAATTTCTAATTGATTGAAAACTCAGACAATAAATGAATCAGGTTTTCGACAGTAATTCTGTTTGTGTGGTTAAGCTACTGACAAATGCGTTACATTTAACAGGCTATTATCATATGTACTGAGATGGAGATTAATATTTTGACATCACTGTTATTGATGACACTGTTTTACTTGGTATTATTGTGCATATTCTGCATTGTGAACTGTTTGTATCCTATTTTAAATTTGAGAGACTGTGTGTGGACGGGCCTCTTGGGCTACATAGTACTCTCCTTGCTTAATTTATTGTGGGGATTATGCTATTATTTTGTAGATTCCATATGTGCATACTGAAGTACATTAAAACTGTTTTATACATAATATTGAATGGTTATTTTATATTTTGCATAATAGGCTGTAGGTTGCAGACTTCAGTGATACAAAGTGTCTTAGGTAAGACACTTGCTCATCTTGCCAGTGCACGAGGCTATTCAAACAGTGACCTGCTGGCAAATAGTGCTTAATGGCAAATCCTACAGGCAGTCTATAAAGTAAAATGGTGCCTGATAACTCCTTGGACTAGATTTTTTCCCCCCAAGTGTGTATGTTTTAAGCAATTATGGATATAAGAATATCTAATATATAATAATTTAATATAAATCCTATTAAGATTTTCAGTCTTTTTTGCAGGCCAAAACGCTGCATTGACTCCATCCAGTGGTCAATAATTGGTATTGCAAAGTTGGCAAAAATTGCTCTCTGTCTTGTTAGTTACAATGCTGCCAATGGTAGCCTATGCGGGGGCAGAGAACTAATTACCATCTACGTGCTTTACACGCAATCTTCTCTCCTTTGCTCTACCTGTGTTTTTTGTTGTTGTTTACTGTAGACATGGTTGTTTTCTAGTGCGCCAGTTCTCGGATATCATGTGATCTCGCGATATCCACTCCCTTCCTACATCCCTCCGTCCGCCGAGCGCCATTTTCGGCGTTGTCACGGGTCCTGGAGAAAAGCATGCTATTATCAAACAGATAATAAGATCTGTATTTAAACTTGTAATAACTCGACTCAGTATTGGTGAAAGATGGGGCGTAAGAAGAAGAAGCAGATGAAGCCGTGGTGCTGGTATCCTTTCATCATAAAGCTAAAGTAGCGTTGTAATTTACGGTGTTGGCTCCGCTTAGCTCCGCTAAATCGAGGCCTGTTTTTAGAAGCTAGGTGCTAACACCCTGCTAACGGAGGGAAATTAAACTTTTAATAAATTCTTGTAAACTGGAAAGCACGTAATCTGAAGTTAATTGTTAGTATATTGTTACTGTAGACTTCTATCATCCATCTGTTGAAGTTTTCTTGGTTGGTCGTGACGAGTCCTGTTTATTCCAACCCGCTAGCCTTAAGCGATAAATGATTAAACTAGTTATAAAGCTTGACATATGACAGTGTTATACAGTTATATGTTATCTTTGAACATTATACTATTCTGTTGGGGATCTTAGTTTTGTCTTTATTTGTAAGTTTTGCTGTTGGGTGACCATGGTTTCATTTTGAATTGTCACGCAAGCGTCAGCATTTTTGTGGTTTCTTTGGCCCTTAACTATTCTCCTAAGGTATTGTAATCGAGACTTTGACGATGAAAAGATTCTTATCCAGCATCAAAAGGCAAAACATTTTAAATGCCACATCTGCCACAAGAAGTTATACACTGGCCCTGGTTTAGCCATCCACTGTATGCAGGTAAGCGTTTTTCATTGTTTTCTACTAGACTATACCTTGTATGTGTTAATCGAATTATTTCCAACACTAAAATGCTCAAACAATGTGTTGGTAATTGGACAATTGGTAATTTTTAAAACAATTACACAAACATTGGTGTCACATTGACACGAAACATGTCAGTCAGTGTAAGTTTTTTTTCTATTATGTGGAGTTTTGAAAATGTGTGTTTTACCATTTCCACTGTGATCAAACGGGAATGATGCTGATGTCACTGTTCTATCCTCAGTTTTACACTTAATTACCCTCATGTTTGAAGCTGAGGATGACATGAAAGTCACCAAAAAAACTCTTCACTTGAACTTTTTTAACTAGAGTAATTATTACAACAGTAAGGCTCAAAGTAAGGAAGGATGCATGATTAAATGGGTTTAATGTGTTTCAGGTTCACAAGGAGACAATTGACAGTGTTCCTAATGCAATTCCTGGAAGAACTGACATTGAGCTGGAGATCTATGGCATGGAAGGAATACCAGAGAAAGATATGCAGGAAAGACGGCGAACATTGGAGCAAAAATCTCAAGGTGTCTTAGCATGCACTGATACTTTTTATGTTTACATTACATTACCCATGCGTTACTAATATTGGTTTGAATATTTCATTTCAGAAAGCCAAAAAAGGAAAAATCAGGATGACTCTGATGAGGAGGATGATGATGATGAGCCTGGACCTTCAGCTCAAACAGCTGTTCAGCCTCAGGCTGGCTACGCTGCTCCCATGGCTCAGCCTGGGATGCCTGTAGCAGGGGCACCAGGGTTACCTCCTGGAGGATACCAAGGTAAGAAACATGTTTTATTAACCAATATAGGCACATAGCTGCATATTTTAAAATGCTGTATTTGATGTTATAGGAATGCCTCCTATGATGCCGGGTGTTCCACCCATGATGCATGGCATGCCTCCTGGAATGCATGGGATGCCACCAGGGTATATAGTCATCATTATAAATGTGCGGTCATGTCAAAGAAGTTCACAGATCACTAAGTGTTGTTTGTTTATTTTTATTCTGAAGCATGATACCTATGGGTGGGATGATGCCTCCCATGATGCCTGGAATGCCCGGAATACCTCCAGGTTGGTACGCTTAAGAATTAGTTTAGTAAATAGTGTGGTAGGTTATCCTAAAATGACAAACATGCAAAAAATAATGATACTTCTAGTATTGGGTAGATTTTTCTTTTTAACCTCAGGTTTATTATGTATGTTATTCTCAGGAATGCCTCCACATATGGCTCCACGGCCAGGGATGCCTCACATGACACCAGCCCCTACAGGAGCTATCCCAAGCCGACCCGCCGCAGCAGCACAACCTGCTGTGACTAAGCCTTTGTTTCCCAGTGCAGCTCAGGTATAAAATGCAAGACCAATGAACATATGTTCTTGTGAATAAGTATGTGTTTTTAACTCCAGCTTGATCCTTAAGTGCTGCCAGTAAAAAAGGGTTAGTTTTAAAGTCGATAGTTTTGTGTGATCGCTGTGATCTCCTCTCTACCATGCTGCAGATGGGCTCTGGAGCTTCATCTCCTGCAGACCTTCAGTCTGCCTCGTCCCAGCCATCCTTTCCTAACACGCCTCAAGTACGCTCCCACAAAAAAACTTGGACTGTGGCAGCTGCATGTTGCTTTTTTTATGAGCTTGAAGCCTGTAATTCTTGAGTTTTCCTTTGAGATTCTCACAGCTCAGACAAAAAAAATAAAAAATTGGGATGGGGAAGAGCCAGTTATGTTTCCAAACAGTATTAGATTGCATGTGCTTTTTTCAGAACAATATGGCCTTCAATGTCTCTTAATTATTATAAGATGGTTTTGTTTGGTGAGTGAATCTTCCCTTTTCAATGTATCTGAAAGGGAAATAGTTTTAAAGTTGTCACAAGAATGTGTCCGTATGAAGGACTTTGCCATTCCAGAATTGATTTAACATTGATAATAAGTTTTCAAGCTTGTGGTACAAACAAATAACTATCTTTTTGTAATGATATGTCTTTGGCATTTTGTTCAAATGTTTAGTCTTTCAATGTTGTCTTCTTTGTTAATACTTGTATATTTCACCCATCATATTGGCTGAGCACAGTTCTCTATTTGAACAGGCCCAGCAAAGCGCATCAGGAGTTACTGCCTCCACAGCAGCCACATCTGACCCTCCCAAAGCAACGTTCCCCGCCTACACTCAGCCCTCTGTCTCTGCCTCCTCTTCTTCCACTTCTGCTTCTAATCCCTCTAGCAGCACTGTGGCCAAACCCCCGGCCACAGTGACTAGTAAGCCTGCCACACTAACCACCACGAGTGCAACTAGTAAGTTGATCCACCCTGATGAGGATATCTCACTGGTAAGTCGCTTTAGCTTTTTGGTTTTCTCTTTTCACAGTAAGTAATGTATGCTATACAATTGGTATAATGTCCTATATTATAATTAAATAATACCTAAAAAATAACTACATTGAGAATACTTTATATAGCATAGCAAGCATAGCAAGTGCTATTAATTACTTGTAAGAATAGTTTATTGTATTAATAATGCAACTGTTGTGCCTTGTCTGTGTCTTTGTGCTTAGGCGCCTCCTTTTTAATTTGTCTAAACGCTGTGTATAATGTGTTTTTGAACAGGAAGAGTTGAGGGCACAGTTGCCCCGTTACCAGCGCCTCGTCCCCAGAGTGGGACAGGCGCATGCAGCTGCTGCTGCTGCCGTGGCAACAGTGGGTGGCATGATTCCCCCACAGCAAGGAATACCCCAGCAGCCTGGAATGAGGCATCCCATGCATGGTAAATCTTTAACCTGATTTCCAGCACTTAAATGTGACAGTGACATATCTAAGGTGTGTTTCCTCTGGCAGGTCAGTATGGTGCGCCACAGGCCATGCCTGGCTACATGGCTGGTGGGATGCCTCCATATGGACAGGGTCCCATGGTGCCCCCATATCAGGGGGGTCCTCCCTTGGGCATGAGGCCTCCTGTCATGTCACCAGCCGGACGCTACTGAAGCTTCAAAGCTGCCGACCACATTAGGTTTGAGGCTAACACCTTTTCTCATCCTAGTGCTCTTTTCAACAGTAGCTGCACGCAACCAGATGTGAGCCCTGTGGTGTGAACTATTGTTAGACACATGGACATTAAATGCAGCATTATCAAACACCACACAAGATTCTGATGGCTCTTTGTTGCTTATCTGTAAGGATGTATTTTCCCCCATAGGTTCCACTCAGGTTTATAGAAATAATGTGTGTTAAAACTATTTCATATTACCTTTTTGAAGCTGCTGGAGTAACATGATCGTACCATCTTCTTACAAAGGCAAGTTTCTCATGTAAACATTGGATCTTTCTTTTTTATTCTTTTGGTAGCTTGAGGCCCTCACAGCATGCTTAGGTGCTGTTGGACTTGCGTCCCCAACTTTGGTTGGTGAGGGTCTCAGTGGTAAAGATGATTCCTGATTAGTGTTATAAATCCATGACTCATCAGTCTCTAGCTTTATTCTTGTTTCAGGTTTGTTTTTAACAATCTTGGTTAAAAGGGTACATGTATTCATCCTTTGTAATGTTTTATGAATCTGTTGTAATAAAATCCATCTTGAAATCCAATGCTGGTTTGTCCTGACCTACGAAGGTGAGTCATGAAGGTTAGTACTGGTGTTTTATTGGGACATCAGATATATTTAACCTGGTATTTCATCACACAAGTTTGCCATCATCAGTCGGGAAATCCACCACATATTCATCACAATAAAGGGGATTAGACTAGATTTCCAGTGTTTTACAAAAAATATTGAATGTTGTCAAAATATACTCAATTTTGGTTTAGCGGAACCAAAGCTGACTAATCTCTGGTTCTAGTGTCGCATGTTGTTGACTTTTATGTAGTCTGAATTGAATCATTTTTTATAGTTAATTTTTCTTTTGCCCATATATAGAAAAAAAACAAACACCAGCCAACAGTTGTGTTGTAGTTATTTGCCTAGCACAAAAAAAAATACTTAACTGGCAAATGCGAACTGTAACATTTTTTTGTAGCACTGTCAGTTATCCATACACAGTATGTTGTGGATTTCCCAAACAATTGCAGTAACCTTGTACAACAGAATTAACTGCAACTCTTAGACTTGCTCACTGCACCGAAGTTCTTGGTGCTTTGATTTTAAGAAATGTCAAATTTCCTGAAGTTCGATTTGCTTTACAGGAGTTAGTTTATGGGCATCATCTCAATAAGCCCCATGTCACATCATAGGGGACTCTGATATATCCTCAGTGAAACATATCATTGATATGTATTTGTTTTTGTCTGTAGCCCTTCCATCAGCTTTTGAGTCTTTAACTCTACTGGGCTGCCATGACAGGTCAGTTAAACCCTGTAAGTACCTGCTGTTCATTGTTCAAGTTTGGCTATGTTCTCAGTGTCCGGCGCTACATGTGCTGTGTTGTAATGGAGCTGGAAAAATGTTAAATTTCTTTGAAATGGGTATTGCAACCTGATAATGTCAAAGGTCCACGATAGCGTCTGTGGAGCAAAGTTCACCACCTACTTGTCTCCATTTTATTGCTTTGCCTGGAATGTTCCACATTAAAGCATTAACCATCTCCATAGAGATGGGCAGGTGATGCCTTCAGGCCAAGTTACATGTCAGATCTGTGGTGAGACTAGCCCACTCACTGCATGAATGCATGTTTTCTAATATTCCTTAGCATTAAAATCACCTGTTGAATGCTATATTGTGAAACATTCCAGGCAAAGCAGTCTTTATGGAGACAAGACGACTGTGGACCCTCCACCGGAAGTTATTTTGTGCACCTTTAAAGGAGGAGTGGGTCCCCTTTGGTATAAACTGGTAAGTAACCAGTTAGATGTTTAGGCCGACTCAAAAACACACAATTGCTATATATATATAAAGATATATATAGTATGTTTAAGTATTTTTGTTGTACTCATTGATTTAACTGATAAATTATGTCTTGTTTACATGCATTTGTACAAAATATTTTACCTTGTAAATGGAAAAATGTGTCCTCTAATAAACTGTTGTACTTCCATTTCTGATTTCTTGGCATTTGTAATCACACTTCAATACATCACATTTCATCTCTACTACAGATGAAGGACCTTTAACAGGTGTTGGACAACTTTTTCCAAGTGAACATGGGCGGATTACGGTTTACTGGGCAATGGCGTGTGGTCAGGGAAATCAAAGCAAGCAGTGGTTGACCAGTAAAATCTAGAATCATTGTCAAAAGAATAATTAAATCGTTTCGAATTATATCCAAAATAATCCGTTTTTCCTTTTCACGCATGTCTGTTTGAAACATGGTTGTTGTGGCGATGTCCTTTACTGCACTCTACTGGCCACTGAACAAACTGCAGCACGGACTGCAGCAACCGCGCTCCCCGATGTCTCCTTCATGTTGCGTTGGTTTGCCTTTCTGCGGAGGCAAATAAAATAACTCGAGGTATGTTTTTGATGAAGTAATTATTATAACATGTCTTAAAGGTCACGAGTAAATGTTGCATAATATAGGATCTTTAAATCTTTGTTTTAATATATGAAACAAACAGCATCATGGTTTTAAGAATTTCTAATCAAAGGACAAAAAGCAAACCTATTCTACAAAGTTGGAGAAATATTCAGTAGTGATATTGTTAGATGCTGTATTACTATATATACTAGGTTAATAAAAGAAGACCCTGGCTGCTGAACAGTTTATTCAATAAGATGTGCCCACTCAAAATGATCTGACTGTTCATTGTTCACGCATCCAGTCATTTGGCTAAAATGACAAATTTGTTGCCCAGTGGCTCAAATTTTTCACAGAGGAAATATTTTGCTTACCACTAGATATAAATCAAGTATGTAACAGTGTTAGGCTATTCCAGGTTTAATCTAGGGTAAAACCAGGTCTAAAATTGGACTACATCGTCTCTCTGTATTTGTAAACAAGAAATGATCCAAATGAGGACAAAAAAAGTGGATAAAATGAAGTCTAACTGAGACAAACTGATAAACTGAAGAGCTCTCCAAGTACCACCCGAAGGAGCTCACTACCAGTGATACAGTTACAGGGGCAAAAGATTACTCAAAAGTAGCTACCAAATCTACTTCAGTAAAAGTATCTGTTTAAAATGTGCTTTAAGAGCAAGAAGTAAAAACATATTGTGAAGATTTTTAAAATAATTTTGGTGATTTTAAGAGAATCAACCGATTTATAAATTTTTCTAACAGTTTTTGTGTATTTGGTTTGCACCAAGTTGGTAGATTAACTCAAATTAAATGGTCTCAGACCATAAAGAAAATTACTTTTTACTTTTCAGACTAGATCTAAAATGTAGTGGAGTAGAAAGTACAGATACATGCTCTCAAATGTATTGAAGTAGAAGTAAAAAGTATCCACTGTAAATTGTTTTTAAGTATTGTAGTTTTACTTTTGTACTTTGTTACATTCCACCACTGCAAATACCACAGTTTGGGAATTATACTGCATGTTGTAGCAGTTTAATGTAACATGCTCAATCACTTTTACAATTAAACGTGTCTGAGCCAACGTTCATAGCAAACAAGTGCGCCCTCTGGTGGATATCTGTCTCTGAGAAGTTGATAAATGGTACAGGTCTTTTTTTCTTCAAGGTAATTTCTACTTTGAGAAGTGGCCAACTAATGCGAGTCATTACATTTTTTTTTCTTTTGTAAAATACAGGCTATCAGTGCTGCAGTCCTTATTAGAGTTCTATGTGGTCAGTGCAGGCTGTTGTGTCCTGGAAAATGGGCAATATTTCAAATTACTGGGACTATCCACATAAAAAGTACTCTCTGTCTGCTAATGAACTCAGGTTAACAATTAACAAACAATTGTGTAGGACTTGACTGTGATATGCCTTATGTAAAAGTAGGTGGTAAAGAAGAAAACAAAAATTACATTTAAATTAACACGTATTTGCAATGTAGCAATGTAGGCCTCATGGAAAATGTCCGTTCCATTGTAATTTTAGGTGGCTTCCCTTTTTTGGAATCAGGCAAAAAGTTAAATGCAACCTAGCTGGTATTTCAAACATATTTCATTCTCACCAGATGTTTTTTTTTTTTTTCTTTCACAAGTGATCCCTTGTGAGGTGTGATGTTTAGTAGGAGGTCATATGTTTGTGTTGAGGCCAGTCCCAGAATATCTGAAGGTGGAGCTTTGCAGAGTTCCTCTTGTTTCATTGACAGTTAAAACATTATATGCAGACAGCACACAGCAGTGAAGCTGTGGTTTACCCGCTGTCGCTGTCACTGCTCATTTTGAGGTTCACCTAAACATGAGTGACATTAACCGTCTCTGTCTGTGGACTCTGATACTCATACATGCAGACACTGGTGAGTTCTTTTTCTTGCTGTCATTTACTTACATGCTGATGGGCAATGTGCTGATGAAGATATAAACCCGGGAAAGTTCAGTTTTGTCTGTGTCTCTGAAGCCAAACACAATACAAATGTAAAATGAAAGGGCAACATCTCAGTTATCTTTGTTCAAACACAGACTTGGAAGGCTCTACCAGCCTGGCCTACAGCGGGGTAAGGGGACACACTCATTTTTGATGATGTGTTTGCAATCTTTATGATGTCATCTATTTGCACATAGAAATACTGATGGTAATGGGGAAATCTGGTCTACGTTTTGGTCTGAGCATAAATCCTCATTGTGACCAAACCCTGTAAACTGTGTTTTAGTGCTAACATTATTACTTGAATTATGTGCTGCTTTGTTTTACAGAGGGGGGTTATGTGCACTTCTTTGGGGCTATTCATTTAATCACAACAAAAAAGTACTTGGATTAAAATATTTAAATATGTATTCACTACATTATTTTGATTTATTTATTTTTCCAAAGATCAGTTAAGTTCATACTCAGGACAGAAGAAGCTAAAGACCTGTTTTGTGACCATTTCTTTCTTTCCTTTTATGCTCCAGTAGTTAGTAGTGGTTCATTTTTTAATTAACCATTACCATAGTGTGCTATTTGCCTGGTAAATCCAGTGAAAAGTAGGAACTGCAAGTATTTTAGGGTGCATTCACACTTATTTGTTTGGTCCTAAATTGAACCCATTTTAGTTCTGTTGTGGACTTGGTTCGGTCCTGTTTTGGTTCTGGCTTTAGCGTGATCTAGTTCAAGTTTAGTTTCAGATTTAGTGAATTTGTGAACGTACAGATAAGAGCGCACCCTTCAGCTATTTCTGATGTGTGTCCCACTTTTATGTTTAAATATGTTTATTTTGTAATTCGAAATTAGTTTAAATGGGCCCGTCCAAGTCAACCAAAGGGCCGTATGTAGCCCAGGAGCTGTACAATGCCCAGGTCTGCATTAAAGGATAAAAGTCACAAATGCAGTCTTCTACCAGCCTCTATGGCCACATGTGTTTTGGCTGTTTAAAATCAAACAGGCCTGTACAAAATAGACTATTATTGGGCTTTTTATTTTATTTGTATATTTTTAATATATTTATTTTAATTGTTCAATGCTTTGTCAGACTCCGTTAAACATGCAAATTTGTGACTACCTAAATCACTGTCAGATGAACAAACAGCTTACACGGAAAAACATTGTAAGTCTCTCTGTGGTGCCAACTGGTTTCCACGTAAAGATAAATAGGCCCATGTTTAATGTCACACTGTTGAACATTCTAGCAAGGCAATATAATTTTCAAAGACAAACAGACCATCCACGAGAAAAGTCACTTAATGCATATTTGTGCCATTCATTGTTTTGTTTTGCAGTGCTTTGTAGTACAACGCCCACTAAGATTTTGGTGCGAGATGTGGGAGATGCAGTGGTCCTCTCCTGCCTGGTGGAGCAGACCACACTTCCACCCTTTGGGGTTTACCTAAAGCGCTCAAAGCTGCTGCCCCGTGAAGTCCTGTTCAAGTACGAGAACACAGAGGCACACATACTGGATCCGGAGTGTCAGAACCGGACCAGCGTGAGCGGAGACCCCAACATTCACGCAGTCAATGTGACCATCACAGACCTGCAGCCTTCAGATACAGACCAATACCACTGCGAGTTCAATGTGCACAACCCGGACTCTGCAGACACAGTCCAGCGTGGGACCACTGACTTTTTCCTCTTGGTCAGAGGAGGTGAGTTTGCTCACACTACATTCACAAGCAGCATTCAAACATGCACGAGTGATGTTCCACCATTTATTTTATTATGAAAGTCTCAGGGCTCTGCGTTTGCCATAGTGAGTTAGTGCTTTTGTCGAGCTGTTTGCAAGGAGAAGCTCAAGTTGTTAGAAAACACTGTTTTGTAAGACAAAAGGATGTCACACGTCTCACACTTGACTCACATGGCTCTGTGGTAATGACTCATGTCGCCGGAAGTGTCAGGACTTCATCACATTGACATCAAAGTGATCAGTGCTAAACAAAAACAATTAAAATCCTTAATGCTCCTACTCTCTTGGACTGAGATAGGCCTACAATAACCATATTCTTTACCTTACTTAGCAGGCCTACTGCAGCTCTATGGCAGTGTAAAATGTTTGCAGCATCTGTTTATAATATGTCTTGTTCTTGCTTTCCCCTTTGGAGTTGTGGATGTTGACAGAGACTGGGTTAACACTTGTGTTGGGGGCTCCGCTCTGCTGCCCTGTGTGTCTCCTGTGGAGGACAGTTCTGCTGTGGAGGGTGTGGTCCTGAAGAGACAGAGGGGGCGGTGGCCTGTAGAGCTCTTGTACCACTCCAAGCACACATCATGGTCCTCACGCTACTTTGTGGACAGGGTTCAGCTGAGTACTGCCCCAGGACCGGGGGGTATCAGCTACAGCCTGACAGTGGGAGCTCTGCAGCCCGAGGACAGTGGGCTGTACAGCTGCCAGCTGCTGCTGCAGGGTCGGCCTCATAGTCTCTCCATGGGCCCACAGGGGCGCTATGTATCTGTGCAAGGTAAACACAATGCATTATCCACACACTGATCAGCCCCTGTTCAACTGGCTTAGACTAACTGTATTAACACATGCTTTAAACTTGTGTGTTTGTGACATTTGCAATCACATGTTTTTTGTTTTCATGATCAAAGACCTGGAGCAATATTGTGTTCATTTATGTGTAAGATAAAGCTAGAATCGTAAAGAATTAGGTACAGTTTTAATGTGCTTTTTCCCAGTATGTCTGTTGAAATAACTAGCCCATTTGTGACTACAGCTGTGGTCAGTCCATCTCCATTCATGTCCCCAGAGGCTCTTTGTCTAATAATTGCTTTCATTTTTCGGTTATAATTCATAAAGGAAGGAAGTTTGCTTTAGTGGTTTCTGCATTTCTTCAGCATATTGCACTAACCCTAACAGATCTTCTCATGTTTGTACTATATTATTTATTTTCCAATTCTCTAGGCTGAAGGGAAGAAGAGACAGCCATTCAGATTCCCCCTTCTTTCCCTCTTCAAAATGGTCTAAAAGTGTGGACATGTTTGTGTGTGTCTGCAGATGACCAGTGTGGCTGCTCCAGTTACTCCACTTTGATTTATGCATTGTCTGCAGCTGTGGCTGTCACATTTACCCTACTGTTGGTGACCGTACTTGTGCACAGAGTGAGTCTGAACCGAAACACTTGACCACATCTATATACAGACCAAACATGAGCATTCAACTGCAACACCTGCGTGTTAAGAACGTGGGACACGCTTCCTCTGCCACTAACCACAAAACCATACTGTTTCACAACTGAGCAGTGTTAAGACGTAAGCAACTGTTATGCTAAACAACCAAGGAGTGAAATTAGTTAAAGTTAATTATATTGCATTAAAAAAGTAATATAAATGTTATTAAATATAAAAAAATTAAAATAAATTAAATATTTGGTTAAACTGAATGTGAGAAATTAAGTGCATACAAATTGAAAAGAGTACAAAACAGTCACAGATCTTGATTTTCACACAGGAAATCTAAATTGTGTGCTTCTGTGATTTTGTTTTCACATGAAGGTAAATAACTTGCGTGCAACAGCAACACCTGCCCCTCCTCCCATCTATGAAGAGATGACAGGTCTGCAGCCCCTGAGCTCCAAGAGGTCCAAGGGCCACGCAGATGAGCCACAGTCCGAGTACAGGAACATTTCCCTGAATGACCCTCGCCTAGAGAACCACTACGAGAGTCCAAATGGCGCCATCATTTACAAAGATGAGTGACTGAAATGGACTCTGCCTGATATATAGGCAGCTTTCTTCTGGTTTCAAAGGTTAAGATATAACTAAAAAAATAACAAAAAATATAAACAAAACCAAAAAAATTACACCAGGAATATACTGTAATTTACAAGCCATATTGAATTGTATTATATATGTGAAGGTCTTTTTAACTTATGCCCTACCAAATGAATCTAGATTCACAAGTGTTAAATTAAAGTTAAATACCTCATCACTGAGCTTCAGATTTATTGAAGACATTGGACTTGGATAAGTGTAACTCCCTGTTTTACGGTTATGTTTGTTTTAAATATTCTATAATAATTTGTAATGAAGTTTGAATCTTTTTTCTATTTTTCCATCCAAGAAGTGGTTATGCTTTTGTGTTTTGTATTCTGTGGCATTTACAGTTTTTAATTGCTTTGGCACATTTTCTGAAACTTTTCTTTTTTAATCTTTTGTGCACTTTGCAGATACAAAACAGTTTAGAATGTTTGAAAAATTTAACTAAACAAGATTAAATTAAAATGAAACAAAATGTAGAACAGTCTTGTAAAAAAACACTTGTAAAAAAACCACTTAGTGGTTCAAAGACAAACACAGTCATTAGAGTTATAAACGTATCTAATCATCCAGATATTGTCCAGAGAATATTACAGCACGTTTAGTCGTGTAGCGTGAGGAAGTCACAGACCCGTATGACTAGTACCACACTGGAAATGCTGTAAATATCTGCAACATTACACAATCAGTTATAGAAAAAAGCAAAAGTTCAAATCTTTAGCAGTTGTTATCTGAACTGTCTTGGACTTGGAACCTCAAAGTGTCTACACATAACTACAGAATTCTTTTATATTGTAATTTCTAGTGTTTCTCTGTTTATAAAGTCAATATTTTCATTACTTTAAGTTCAGTTTTGTCCTTTGTGTCTATATACCGGAACTCTGTACTAAACTAATACTGTTGATCCACATATGAATGACTGGACACTTTTTTATATCACATGAACTATGAAAACAATAAAGGAGATGACAATATTACAGCCAAGAAAATCTGTACTTTATTAATATAGTCAGAAAGAAGCTCCATTGTCAATGGAAACATTTTTTCCCGGTTCATGTCCTTAACAATCACATTCTATGAGGAGAAAAAAAGAACAACATTAAAAGCCACAACTTTGTATTTTGAGTTACAGACATTTTCTTTAATGTTTGTCAAAGTAAAGAGAGGCAAAGGCAAAGTCCCCCTGTTGACCCCCCACCCCCTCCCTTAAAAAAAGGTTATGGGCTTTTGTCAGTATAACCCACAGTGCTTTAGCAGAAAATAAGCGGTCATTGGTTAAATTACACAGCATGGCCTCACAATGTAATGTGTTGCAAAAACATTAGATAATGAAGAATTGGCTAGAGGAGGGGATGGGTAACAGGAGAGAGAAAGAAACAGAACAACCCACATGAACCCTCCCCCGAGTGCACAGGTCCGCAGTCTGCAGCCTGGACTCTCCCTCCCACTTGTGCATAGATCAGGATCCTTTAGAAACCATCTGAACTTTCTACATCCTCCTCTGAAATCCCTCAGTACATGTAAGAACCTCTCAGCAACACGCAGAGAGCTGATTCAAACTAAACTTGCACAATGCTCCTGAACCAACAGGAAAAAACAGCTCAAAAGAACAAACATACAAATGCATTTCTGTCAATGTCTTTTGACAATCAAACTGTTCATATCAATGTAAAGCAATTTCTACTTAGATTTCACATGTAAAGCACACCACTTTTCCAAGCTGATTCTCAGTCTTATTTGGTAATTATGTAACTTGCTACAAACTTTTAGTTTCAAACAAAATGGTACTAGATTCTGTCCAACCTCCATGCCGCTTGGGTCTTCAGTTGCTCTTTTCACAAAAACAAAAACATAAAAATGATGGAGTTGGTAACTGGAACCCTGGCCTTCCTGAGACAAAATCCACATCTTTTATGAGTGTGCAAGATTGTAAGCAAACTGTTGCTTACAGAAAGTAAAAACATACATTTCACAAATACAGAGATAGTCCATCGACACAAAAATTAAAAATCCAAATATGACAACACTGATCAATCCCAGAGTTCTTAAGTAGCATAAATCTTCATTTTGTAAGATTTTATGTCCATTTTTGATGGAAGATGAACTGAACTTTTTTTCAAACATTGCTGTTGTATATGTCTAAGTCCTTAAACTCTAGACAAATGAAATGCTTGTAAACGACAGGTGGCTTTAGCAGAACAAATGAAAAGATAGGCACCTCTGAAATGAGTTTCGGAGCAAACTCACCTCCTGCACTGTTATCTCCTTGAATCCCTTAATATTTTTTTCAAAGAAGTAACATAGGGATTTACTAGTCTTTCTACAGCTAGCTATGGCCACAGTTCTTTTGTTTTTTGGCTTTTTTGTTTTGTATTTTTTTTTTCAGATTTTTAAAAATTCTTTGTTATTTTTTTTATTTTTATACTTTTTTATATTGAACTGGAACAAAGTGGTGCAATACTTATAATCCTTATGTTGGATTATTCCACAATAAAAGCCACTATAAGGTAGATAATTTTTACATATAGAATGAAATAAAATCCATTAAGTCCTTGAGTAAACATGTACACGTGAATTGTCACGGTCCCCCCTCTGTACTTTGACTCCTTTTTTACGATTAGCTGAGCGAGGGGTAGAAGACACTCAGTGCAACATTAGAAGATAATAACAACATCAAGCAGAATAGTTTGGACAGAACAAAATTAACAAAACAAAGTGATCATACTGAGTGGATCATCCTCACATTTCTCTGCATACATTCATACAACAGCAAGCACACATCTAAGAGGACTACTGCTTTTTTTCTACTATTTTGTAACTTAATGAAATACATTTTGATAAATCTAAAAGCCCCTATGTGTACCTGTCCGATTGAGACAACAAAATGAATTACTGACTTCACATTATGTTATTGGCGCTGTATGATTCAAGTATTTGTGTTCAGTATTTTGTTTTGATATGTTTGTGATTCCACTAGGTTAAAATATGCATCAAAGCAGATGATTCAGGTTGGGCTTTTAGACGAGCTAACAAACAAGAACTTCACATGCACAGTACAACACAGTTTGTACTGCGTATGAGTGTGCACATCCAGCGCCAGATCAGAAAGATGCAGCTTTCATTCAATCAAGTATCAAGTTAACATCCGACCCAAAATCTTTTCTTCCACCTACTTATTTGCGGGAAAAATACATATTGCTCTTTTTCAGTTTGTATCAAAGACCTTTTGGAATAGAAACAGAACGCATCAGAAGTTTGGATCCAAGAGTCTTGATAGAACACAGCGTAGGAACAGTAAATATGTATCATTGTGCCTAATGTACATAGATACTGTTGACAGATGTAGCGGTTGAGAGGAGAGCCTCTCGATGCTGGTGCAGCACGGGAAACCCCCTTCACGGTCAGGGTTCTCCAGTTGGACAGGATGCTGGGAGGTCCTCGGCTATTGGGTCTGTCTGAGCTTGGATCAAGGCAGTTACAGAAACAGGCAATAGTGATTTTTGCTTGTGTGCTGCAGGACGCAGAGCCCCGAAAGGTAGCCGTGTTCTGTTTTCTTGTTTAATTTTTTTTCTTTTGTTTTAAGACTTTGTACCTCATGAAGTCTGAGCCTCTCCTGTAAGAAGAGTGAGGCTGATACAGTGGGCCCAAGTCATCTGGGTTTGTGGAAATGTACAGTTCAGAGGGTCCGCTTTGAGCAGGACACAAAAATAAAACAAGATAAATATAGCATCCACAAAAAGGCACCAGCCGCCAGCTTGCTCCAGTGGATGGTGGCAGCAGACACTGACGACCAGAAACGTTTCAGCTAGAAGTGCAGAGCATTAACATATTATAGATCTTTTTTTTACATTTAGATTTTTTAAACATTTTTAAGATTTTATGTCAAACTTCATAAAAATGACGTTAAAATGCAATTTCATTTTTGGTTTTAAAAAAATATGTACCCGGGATTACCCATCATCAACTGTGCACTGTAGCAAACTGGAACCCACAACTGAGTAAGGACTTTCTCCTATGTGGGTGTCCCCTCAAAGCATATAATCATGTCTACAGGACGGAGCGTTGGGCCCATGTCTTTGTTCCTTCTGTCCCCACTGTGCCCTCTGCTCAGTGTTTCAAAGCTCCTCCTCACAGGAAACAAGTGCTGTGCAGCGGATTGGCACATCATGGCACCTTACTATGCTATACAGGCCCCTGGTGCTCGCAGTAGGCCACAAAAAACAGGATGTGACGATATCCTCCTGTCAACTTCTAATTACGTTTGTTCAGCATGAGGTCTGTGTTTAAGTTGTGCACATGGCCTTTAAAAGTAAGACATTGCTCTCACAGTCAAAAGGACAATCACGGAGAGCATACTTTGTATCATCAACTCCTCTACCCTGAGATCTAGCTGGACACTAGTGCGGTCAGCACAGAGCGGGGCAAAGGCTGACCAGAGAAATGTGGACATACGTTTCAACAGTGTTCATGCGGCCAGTATGGGAGGGCTCAGGGATACAAGCTTGAATACCTTCAAGCTCTGAAAACAAGTGCTTTCTCCTAAAAGGAGTGGCATGCTCCAGCCTCTAGTCTTTTGCATAGAAACAGATTGGAGGGCCTTTGGGTGCCTGATGGGGTAGAGGCTACTGGGTCTGGAGGAGGAGGAGGTCATAACGTAGCAGCTTGGCAACAGGCACAGGGGGGACAGCCTGTGGACAGGTGGAGCAGCGTGGAGCAACCAACAGCTACAACCCTGTGTGAGACACTCTACTTTTACACATCTCAAGACAACTACCTGGAAGTACTACAGATACTGTCAAACACAAAGCGTGAGCAGTTTCACATAAAGACAATCGATAATGGTCTGTAGTATTGTTTTGCATTCAATACACAGGATGAACATACAGAGGCACCTCTGACCAAAGTGTTCTGCATATGAACAGTGAAGGGCTAGTTCTGCAGCAAATATTTTGCTTTACCACTGCATGTAGACACATACTGACAAAAAAAAAAAAGAAAAAAAAAAAAAAAAAACCATCATAGAAATTACACTGGCAAAAATTCCAGAAATATGACTATTACATGATCCAGCTAAAGTGATCTTTGTGTCAAAGGACTGAGTGGTGGTGGGGAGAGGGCGGGCGACAGATGTTGCCATGTTTAGGCCGAGCTGTTGTTTTCTTGCCATACTGAGACGCAAATGAAGAGGAAGTGATTCCGTCAGCAGCCCAGACCACAGCAGAGGCACTCAGTGGACTCACCAGCTCCCCACCACCCTCCGACGCACGCACTGACCACTGACGGCCAGCGGGGGTCTGAAACAGCTAATGTTGCAAGTCTAGTGCCTCCAAATTAATCAAGGCTTAACATTTGGAGTAACAGTGATATTCACTTCGATATTGTTCAAAAGAGGACAACCACCACACTGCCGGTGTGTCCCCGAAAGTTCAAAAGGTACATTTCAGTTTCTCGTGCCCTGCTACCAGAGGACCAACGCCTTATACAACGCCATCAAATACATACAGTACATGAAGAGCAGCTTTTTTTGTTTTGTTTGTTTAGTTTTTTTTTTTTTTCTTTTTTTGGCTGCTCTTTTTTGATTTACTGGATTGCAGTTGAAGCAGTTTGCTCTTCATAAGTGCTATGATAAAACCCTTTGAATTTATAGAAGTCATTTCTTTCTGTTTGTACAGTACCAAACTCAAGGAACACTCGTAGGTCTACTGCATTAGGAGAAACCCCTCTTATTTGGTATTGTGCCAGGGAGCCAGAACCGGCCAATCCCAGGAGGATTCAGTCTGTGTTGGGTGTGGCTGTTTTGCGCACAGAGGAAGTGTGCGTTTCGTCTCACTTCTTAGAACAGTTTTCAGCATGCTTAGTTCAACCTTCCTCTATGCAAACTTGTCCCAACAGTTTATAGGAATTGGCGGTCAGGATAAGTCCAAGTTTTAAAAAGAGAAGTTCCAAAGTCTTTTGCTGCTGCACCAAAACAAGTAGAAAATGGTTAAATAAAAGCAACAATTCCGGTGGTGAGGATGGACGGAAGAAGTCTATGGCATATTGCAATGATACTGTCTTTAAAGTTCAAATTGGATTTTGTCCTCCAAAAATGGCAGACCATGCAAACTGCTGGACTTCCTATAAACAACAAATACAAAATTTTAACTTAAGCACCAGCTGATGAACTGGTATCCATGAAGTATGTGGATTTGTTCATGATTCAGTGCCACTGGAAAAACAAATCCGCATCTGTGAGCTTATATGTTGTGGTTACTTTCCACAGACAGGGTTGACCTACAAAACTAACAGTAAAGAGATGAAGGAGTAAAGGAACATTGGCGCTGATGATTGGTAGGACCAGACACTCGGGTCAGGCCTCGATACTGCCCAGTGACTGTGGGTCACCAGTTGTGTCCTGTACCACTTTCTGGCTCAGAGGTGAAAACTGTGCAAGATTTTAGCAATTTCTTCAGTTACAAAAACAAAATACCAACAAATAAAGGCGGCTTGGGAAGAACCTGGGCCATAGAGCACTTAAGGCTAATATTAGTGCTGAGAAACAAACAAGAACATTGCTAGTAAAGGTCTTTGAACCACATGGTCATTGGCCATGGACATGCTGGGAATGGTCATTTTAAGTCTTGTTTTGGGATGATTTCTTTTTGAGGGGAAAGGAAAGTCTCAGATGGCAGCTTTGATTGCTTCTCCTAAAACACTTCACACAGAATGTTGTATACTTATGGAAAACAAAACAAATACACAGCTTCCTCTGTGTACACTTTTCAGTTTGCTTCAAAAGGAAAAAGAAGAAGAAATATTTTCTTCTCAAAAATAACAAAAGGTAAAACAAAAGAACTGGAGTCTCTTTGTGTGTTGAGGACCCCAGTCTCCTGATTTACAATTCACAGTTCAACATAGTTCAAAATAGTGATACTGATTATCGCCACATGATTTGCTTGGATTTAGCTCCTGTTCATATTGAATTGGTTTGTAGCCGGCTCTGCACCAATTGCTTCATATCACGGTGGCAGAAGGCTAGTAGGTGTTTGGGTGTTGCATGGTTCTACATGGACTCTCCACTCAGCAGGTCTCCAGGCAGCAGCGTGTTGATGGGAGTGGGGCTGCCGATGACGTGGGTGTCCTCTCCGCTCGGAGGCCCCCACAGACTGGAGTACTGTGGAACACCTCCCCACAGCAGTTCGCCGCTGCCCCCGCCAGTCTTGGCCCCTCCAGTGCCTCCTGCTCCGCCGCCACTGCTACTCCACTGACCAATAGTGTGAGACTGCGTAGCCCCGCCCATCCGGTTTTGATTGGTTCCCTGGTTGGCCTGCCAGCTAGTGGTGTTGGACCCCAGTGACTGGCCTTGTGCAAAGAAGCGGTTCACCTCCTCCTCACCAGCAAACTCTGCCAGAATAGTGGTGTTTCCAAGCACACACCTAAGGAAGAACAGAAAGGCGAGACAAAAATTAAAATGAAGATAAAACTATTGATTGAATTAATAACCAATAACAAATGTATGTTCATTTGCTGTTACAGGTCTTCAGATGAGAAACATGTGCCCCGCATCTTTACGATGTGGCCCTACTCAAGATATTCTTTACACCCACAAGCCCAGACAATAGATAGAGGACATACATTTTGAACTGGGTCATCAGATTGCTTTTTGTTTTGTTTTTGTTTTTTATTTCTATGACAACCACATTTGTGGCTTGGTTGTGAAAACCCAAAAAAGGTGCAGTGTTTTCATAAAAAGAGTCTCTGCACTGGTAAGAGAGATACTGGTAAGAGATAATTACATTTTACATATTTCCAATTTGAAGGCAGTTTAAGCAAAGCTAAAATGTTGAAAGGCTGTTTTGCATTTCCTAGCTTGTAATATATAATGTTATGCACATTTCGTGTAAGTGTGAATGTTCCCTCATATTGTTATTTCAGCGCATTTGCACATACAATCAAATAGAGAAACTTGCAGTAACTACCAGTACACTTTCTGCAGTGATTCAAAGGAAAAGTGAAGCATTTGGTCAGTTACAACATTCGTTGCAACAGATACTGCAACTTTCCTTTGATACTCCACTTTTCCTCACTGAACAAACTGTAATTACTGCAAATTTCACATCAAAATGTCTCAAAAATGAGATGGAGTTGAGCCAGAAAACTTTGTCACCAAATAAAAGAGGTCTTAAGAAGGTGTTTTTGGTGACATTTTTTCTTTTTAAGGCAGTACAGCTTACATGTGCAGAGACTTCTGGGCTTTGGCAGCTTCATCCTTGGAGCTGTAGCGGACCACAGCATTGCCCTGGGTCAGATTGAGGTGGAATGTGATCAGGGGACCATGCTGCATGCAGAGAGTCCGCAGAGTGGAACCATCAATCTGGAACACAAGCAACAAGAGTTTAAAAACCTATCTCTAGTATAGAAATTCAGTGTTTTCATAGCACTGCAAGCACGCACTTGTGGAGTAAGGTTCCTCAGAACCAGCCAGCTGCTGGTCCTGTTGGTGCTGTCCGTGCTCCAAGTGGTTCCCTCTGCAAGATACACAGTTTAACAAGTCTCTGCAAAAGTCACAGTTTTGACTGTGTCTTGAACCACTAAACCTCAAAATGTCAGTTTAACAGGGTGTGTTCACAAAGCCTGACACTATATGCATCACATTCATAATGTAACACAAAACAAGCAGTGTAAAAGTACGTGGTATAAGTTTCAGATATGATCTGAGAGTGAGATGAACTCACCAGAGGAGTAGGAGCCACTCCAGCCCTGGGCCAGGCCAAGGGAGTTCCCACCCCAGGTGGAGGAAGGTTTAGTGTTGGTGAGACCGGGTGGGGGGCGTGAGGGAGCGGTGGTGCTCCGTGGGCCTGGGGGTACTTTCCACAACTCATGGGACAGAGAGCCTTGGCTTTGGGAGATGGGCCCTGGAGACCAAGTGGACTTCATGTCAGAGAGTTTCCCTTTACATGACAAAAAGAACAAATGAGATGAAATGATCAACAACATGTGATAGATGGTATGAAGGATCATGAAGGTCAAACACTAGGTGTGTTTACAAGTTGAAAAAATAAAGAAGTGTTTTGTATGATGGATAAAAACAAAGTGACAGGTGCACACAATCACACACAGGATACAAACAGGGTCATGACCTATATACAGTAGAGAGGTGTGGTCAAAGAGAAACTACTATAGGTGAGGCTCCAGGAAAAGGTGTAGTTAAAGTTGGGGTTTGAGTTTAAGAGAAATAGAAGTCTGTGATGATGTCTTATCAAGCCTTCTATGTGGGGATCTTTGCAGGTCTACACAACAACAGGGCACTTCAGTAGTGTACCTGCGCTGTCTCCATCAGGAGGTGACAGACTGAAAGAGTTAGAGAAGCTACTGACAGGCCAGTCACAGCTGGTGGAGCCATTCTCAAGTGGAGAAGCTGGGGATGTGACTATGGAGTAACAATAATAGGGCACCATAAAGAGAAAAAAAAAATAGATGATTTCATAAACTGACTAATCTGGTTTCATGCAACATGCCAGGCTATTTTATTGTCGTACCCCCATTCCTGTCCCGTAAAAGGTATCGATTGACGTCATGAATGTTAGTGTTGATGGTGGGACCAGTTGAGACACTGCCGGGAGTCATGTTGGGGTCATTCTCAGGGTCAATATTCTGAAGGCCCTTCCATGGCACGCCTGGGCAGAACTCTGGAAAATAAAAACACTCATGTTATAATATTAAAAACAGAATACAATTTGACCAAGCAAGCTTATAAAAAGCAGATTTAAAGGTCATATCTGAGAAAAGTGGAGTGGAGACTGTGACTGGCCTTGCAAACAGTATCAGTGACAGCAAGATAGGAAAATTCTAAAGACAAGCAATGACAAAAGTGAAAACAAATATTAAATTCATAGAACAGTGTGTGATTTGGAAGACCACGAAATGTAAACATTATTTGATGATTTGAGTTGATGAGTTGATTTAAAGAATAAAGAGGTTTACATGTGTGAGTATGGCCAACACAGTCAGAATTCAACTGTAAGAGGTATGTTCTCACCTGGAGGCCAGTTAATGTTGTTGCCATTAGAAATCTTTTCGTTGGGGCTCTTGCCCTGGCCCCAGCTATCTGGAGTGACCAGGGGGCTGGAGGGAGCCTCAGTCGAGGACATTAGGTTATAAGGGCTGTAGGAGTCCTCCAGCTGAGGGGCTTTCCCAGGAGGGCCCAGAGTAGAGGCAGCAGTTATGGCACCTTCAACAAAATATCAAAATAAGTTTAATGCACTTATATATCTAAGATTCTCATTGTATTCTTTAAGCATTGCAGTGATAAACTGACTAAGTACTTACTTTCATTTAAAATATACTAAAATATATGTATATATGGTTAAATATATATATCTACATTCCTCCAACTATGGTCATTGCCGGCCATCATCTTGTTCCACATACACCATTTCATGACTTTCAACATGTTTAATGAATTCACCGTGTTTATTGAGGTTGCTGTCCATATTAGTGGCATTGCCGGATAGGTTATCCATGGCATTGGAGTGTGTCCACTGGGACAGACGAGACTGAGGCTGAGGGGGCTCCTTCAGGGACAGGCCCCCCACCTCCATGCAGTTTACATTCATGTTCGGATTCAGTCCAGCTGCACAGAAACAGTAAGATACAGAGGGGAAACAGAAGTTTAAAACAATGTATTGAAAATGTGGTATATTTAAGTCATTCAAGTACTACAAATGTGATTCCCACGTTCCCCCACTTACTGAGAGGATAGGTGTTGTAGGCGTTGGGAGAAGACGGAGGCTCTTTGGTGTGCAGTGTGTCGGCGAGGCCTGGGGCCTGGTGGGAGCCAGAGAAAGGGTCCAGAGATGATTTGCTGGGACCTCCAGGAGGGCCTGGGGGGTGCAGGCCAGCAGAGGAGGAAGAGTTGGAGGAATGAGAAGGAAGCTGCTGCTGCTGCTTCATCAGCAGCGCCTGGTACAGCTGACGCTGGTGCTGCTGGATCTGCTGCTGCATGTTGGTGATTGTACGTGCAACCTGCAAAAGAAGGACTACTTTAGATGGGAACATACACAGCGTGAATCTCTAGTAATTTGGTGGAAAAACACACAGAAAGTCTCAAGTCTCAAGGCACTCTGACAAAGTATGCCCAAAATAATACTTGTGTTTCAGCTGAAAGCTACATAATTTTAGATGTATTTTTAGACGCCAGTATTCTCTTATTTATAACATGGTCACATAAAATCAGTAACTGTGTGATAAAAAGACAGTATTACTGAATAAGTTTAGTTACATAGTGATAATGTCAGTGGGTTTAATTCATGATGATGTTATTACAGTAAATTGTTACATTTATATAGTGTTTCTCCGCCTTCAAGGCATTCAAGCATTTTACATCAAAGAACCGCTCACTCACCCATCTACACACACGTTCATACACCAGTGTACACAGACACTGCCCCATACCGGACATGTACTCTCACAAAATCGCAAAAACAGTTTGGTATTATGTGCAGACTCACTTGCTGCTCTTGTTGTCTAATAGGGCCAGAAACATTGCGTTGTGCCTGCATCATCTGCTGCTGGATTTGTAAACGCTGGTATGCCTGATAAGAGAGAATTAATTTGATGTAATCAGATAATAAAAAGTGAATATGTAACTTTTTTCATATGTTACTGCCTACTTAAACACGCTTGCTCACCATTTGCAGTTGCTGAAGTTGGTATAGCAGGGTCATTTGTTGAGGATTTATTGGTGAGGTTAAAAGTGCAGGATTCAGACCAATGTTTTTTGCTGCAAACTGCAAGAGCTGTGCTTGGACCTGGAGGGGAAATGCGTTGGCAATATGAAGAAAAGTTTCAGCAAAATGTGAGTTAAATGTAACAGTGCTTCTGGCAAGGTAATTAAAAACTGAAGTTCCATGTAAAAACAAACATACAAAACAAACTGCAAAGTATACAATTTAGACCCCAGGCTACTTTTCTCAATGAAATGCATGCCCCTAATGTTTGACCTTCTCCTTGGTGTCTGTATGTATGTGTAAATACGTATGTATGTTTCTATATTTGTGTGTGTGTTTATGTGTATTTACGTGTATATGTATGTGTGTGTGTGTGTATACGTGTGTACCTGAGGGGAGAGAAACTGAGGCACTTGAGCACGTAGACTCGGCTGGGAGGAGCTGAGAGGTGGCACTGGTGGCTGTGGAGGCTGCTGCTGCATGGCCCGGGTTTGTGCTGCTCCACTGCTGCCAAACATTCCACTTGGTATCTGAAATATGGTCATAGAAAGGTTTAAAAAATGGCCCCCACTATTCATTTGTGTAGTGATAAATATATTCAACTGAAATTAAACTTTACTACAAAAAGTCCTAAATGTATTTTAATAGGCAACACCTCTTACATAGGTTAGTTTCCTTGGCTGTAGCTGCATCTGGGGCTTATGTCCCATAGAATGCATTGTAACAATGTACCCTAAATCAACAAAATTTTAACTAAATTTTAAAATTATACACATAAAGGCCGAACCTGAATATAAGCCACAGGTGTCCACGTCTTCAAGAATGTTTTCAGGTACGGGCCATTTGCTTTTATTACCTCTGAAAGCTTTTGTTGTCTTTTTGCACTGAGTCAGTTCGTCACACTGTCATTGCCAAAATCTCATCATCAACTCACTGATGTCGATCTCACGTGCAACAGCTCTATTTCCCTCTTCAACAGCCAGATCAATTGCGTTTAATTTAAAAGCTGCATCATCTGCATTTCTTTGCATATTTTCAATAAGGAGGGTGTGTGCATGAAATAAAACTAAAAATAACTAAAAAAACACAATCAAACTAGTGTCTTCCTCGGCACATCACCCCTGTCTCTCCCTGCGCTCTACTGCATATCTCTCCTGCAAAAAGAGCCATTGTCCTGTCTGTCATGTCAATGTCTTGTAGGATTTCAGCAGATTTTAGGCTAGTTGCATCTATCAGGTATGAGTGACAAGTGAGTATGTCCGGCTACTGAAGTTTGAGACATTTACACACTCATCTGCATTTCATGTATACGAGAAAGACGTATCCCCTCACTGGTGTTAATTTAGCATCATAACTTATTTTATCACACACCGAACTGTTTGAGTGTTCTGACAACATCACTAGCTAACGCTGCAACTTCATGTTAACTCTAAATCCATGTGTTAACCGCACACAGAGTGGGGCTTTTTGCACTCAGACTGTACATGCATCCACTGTGCTGCCAAACAAATAATTTGTCCATATATTCGCCACATCATTGTATAACCCACAGGGTTCAAAGTGTGAGAAAAAAGTAGCAACTTATAGTCTGGAAATTATGGTAAATTCAATAGGTACTTCAGGCAATGTGAAACAACCAACCAATAAAAAGGGCTAGCTGTGGATTACAGGTGGCAGATGTATATACTTTCTTACTTTCCAAGGAAAAAATATAATATGTACTTCATTGCCGATAATGGCAAAATTAAATTAACTAATAATTGAGTAACGCTGTAGCTTTATCACCTGTCTGTTGTTCAAGTTTTGCATTGCCAGCCCTGGGCCGCCCTGTCCCAGACCCTGCCCTGGAAGGCTACTGTTGGCCAGAGGGAGCTTCAGGCCAGGGGAAGGCAGAAATGGTGATGAAGGAGAATCATCTGACAGAACACCATCCTGCAAAGGTAAACGGTTAAAAACTGTTTTTGTGTTTTCTATCTTTTAGTTTTAATTTAGTACTGTCACCTTGTCAAGAAAGGTAGTACGATCAGAGGGGTCTTTGGAGAGTATAGAGGGTCGGCATAGCAGGGGTTTGTTCATGCCATTACTATAATCGGACAGGCCCATGCCTCTCTTGTCCAGGTCTGTCTTTTTCTCCAACAGGGCACCTGGGAAAGTACAAAATATCATCAGGCGTTACTTGGAAAGTTAAAAAGGTTATGGGTTTTGTTCTATAAACATGTCAGAGACTTACTCATTGCCTGGTCAAGGTTCATATTGTTGCTTTTTAATGCTTCTTCAGCGGGATCTCTCTGTAATCAAAACATAGTGCATGGGAGTTTTTTGTAATCAAACAACAGTCTATGTAAACATTTTCAGTTTCTGTACCGGAAAGCCCATGTCAGTCAGCTGTTTGATCAGACGATTCATGATCCAAGCTTCATCAGGCTTGTTACCCATCTTGCCCTAAAATCATTGCAATAAAAGGTTAATTCAATAATTCTGTATTTTGTCTCTAATATGAAGTTTCATTTTCTTCTGACCTTGTTTGGACCCTTTTTGCCCCACGAGTTGCAAGAAGAATTGCTCTCCTGGGATGTAGGACTGTTCCACATGTCCCCCTCTTCTGTGTCCCATTGGCTGGTTGACATACTCATTTCCTCTCCTCCATTTCCCCAGCCATCTTGCATAGGTTTAGGGCCTAAGAGAAAAAAAAAATACTTATTGTTATTAATTTGTCACAAACATTGTCATAATTCAATTCCATAAAAGTTTAGAACTTGTTCATTGTTAAAGCTTTTGTAACATTCTTTTGTGTTCAATTTCTCGCCACTTGGTGTCACTGTTACTATTTGAAAAAGTGGAGCAAAGTGGAGGTGTTACAATTTGATAAAGTGAAGATTTTCTAAAAATTCATACATTTTAAATTATCAAAGAAATTCTTCTCTTCTTACATTTGTCATTTAAGGTTCAAGTGAGCATTTCTCATTCCTATATTATAAGCATCATAAGGCATGAACATATATCCATTTTACCTGATTTGCAGGGGGCAGAGCCAGGGGGCCCGTTGGCCCTGCCATAGGACTCATGTCCACCATCTCCCCAGCCTCCGACTCCTCCTGGTGGCTTTCCCCAGGCAGAGGTGCCATTGTCTACAGCAGAAGTTGGCGCTGCCGGCTCCCCCCAGGCAGGCTCTGACTTGGGCTGGACATTAGGAATCTCTCCCCATCCTGAGGAAAAATTGTATCAAAAAATCTTCATAAGGTTCATATAACACTAGATGCTGCATATCAGTGTCCTTTTATGCTTCAAATGGGCGATTTGCGTCATTGCTGCACTGAAGAAAAACAGCAATCATTCAACTGTTTGAATAAGGAACAAATTGTATGTAGAGCTTTCACTTGTAACAGCACACAAAAGGAGAAAACACTAATCTAGTGAAATTAAAGGACTAAATTAAATCAAACATCTGCATGTCTAATACATATATATCTAAATTTTAAATCCATTACCTGGGTTGGAGATAGGTGGTCTTTGGGGGCCCGCTCCTGGATGAGAGGCCCCATTGTTGGGCGAGCCGTTGTTTCCATGGTGCTGGAGGTGAGTTGGGGGTGGACCATGATGAGGGTGATGGTGCATATGGTGACTGTGATGGTGACTGCTGTTTCCCACAGTGTGGTTGTTATTATTGGGTAGAATTATTCCACCATTCTTACTGGGTGGTGGTCCACTGTTTCCTGGGTTGCCACTGGGATTGTTGCGATCCCACATGTTGACAGTCTTGTTATACGTGTTGGGATCACCCCATGTGGACGTTCCATCATCAATCTCCATCTTCCTTCGAATGGAGGGAGGAGAAGGCTCTTCCCAGCCAGTTGGCTCCATGCCCTGATCCACTTTATTGGCATTACTCCAGTTAGAGCTGTTCTGCTTCACAGAACTGGGACCACCCCAGGAACCAATGCTACCACCTCCTCCACTGCCTGTGCTGCTACTGCTGCTCTCCTGAGGTTTGGAGGAGCCCCAGCCTCCCTGAACCGGGCCATTGGTACGTGATGTATCCCCCCAACTATTATTCACTGGTGGAGCTTGTTTGCCCCAGCCACCACCTCGATTTCCTGCTCGAGGGCTCTCCTTCCACCCAGAACTTCCCCCATTGCCACCCTCTCCCTCCCACATGCTACTGGAGTTCCCATTGTTCTTGCCCTCTGGCTCTCCCCATTCCCCTGTGCTGGAGCCATTTAAGCTCCCGTTACCATTTCCCCACCCATGGCCGCTTGAGGAACCCTCAGTCCAAGTAGTTGGTTGACTTTTTGTCATACCATCATCCCAACTGGGTGACTTGTCCTCAGACCCCCAAGAAGAAGAGCCTCCACTTTTAGAACCACTGGCAGGCATAGGATCTCCCCACCCACTGGTAGTGCCATTTTGGGCTTTGGACTGTGGAGGATCACTCCACTCTGATCCACTCTGCATTGGCTGAGGACCTCCCCAGTTTGAAGATACTGACACGTCACTGTCGTTTTTCCCTCCAGATCCTGGCCTTGGACCAGGCCCAATGTTGGTGATTACATTTCCACCACATGTGGGAGAGTTTGCGTGATTAGAGCCAGAGCTGCCTAAGGTTTCTGAACTGCTGCAACTTTTCGAGTCATCTGAGCTGACTTCTTCCATCTCCCACACAGTGTGCTGTCGAATGGGGGTCTGTCCCCAGCCAGTATTACTCAAAACCCGGGGGTCAAGATCTTGTCGTGGAAGTACAGGAGCAATTTCCATGCTGTAGGACCTATCTCTCCGGCGAGATCGCCCCTCACTACTATCTCCGCTGCCCTCACTAGCTGGAGCCGTGCCTGGCTGCTGGCCCCACGAGCTCAGTGGCTGCTCTTGGCCTGAGCCTGAACTTCCAGCATCACCGGAGTCCCAACCTTTGGGTGCATCTCCCCCAGAGGACTTTCCCCAGTCCCCCCATCCACTACCTCCAGTACTCCCTGTCCCACTGCCTTGACGGCCCCAGGCAGAGAGGGCTCCAGATGGGCTGGAGTCCCAACCAGAGTCTTTGGGGGAGTCAGCTGCCTTAGTGTCCCCACTTCCCCATACTGAGCTGCCTGTTGTATCTCCATTGAGCTGGGATGATTCTGTGGGAGACTGGCCACCCCACCCAGTCATCCCGTGGATAGGGCTCATTGGCTCCTGAGTTGGCTGTTGTTGCTTAGTATGGTTTGGTCCGTCAGAATTAAGGTTTGCAGGTTCCATATTAAAAGACAAGCAAGTGTTGGTTGTAGGATGTTGCTGATCCATTTCTTTAGCGCTCATCATGCCAGCCCAGCCTCCACCATTTACATCAGGTGCCCCTACATTTCCATTACTTTTGATACCTGGTGTAAGAGATGAAGAGTTAGACAGCCCATTGGGGGGTGCGTTACTGCCAGTGCCCTCATGACCAAGAACAGGCCAAGCTGAGGGGTTGGCATTAGGATTGAGGTTTAAATTAAAATTGGAGGAACCCCAGTTATTGGCTGCTCCCATTCGACCACCATTCATAGCATCTGGTTTTCCCTCTGAGCCCCATCCCCTACTGGCGCTTAAGGTGCTGGCAGACCCAGGTCCGGTCATCATATTATTGTTTGATTTCAGAGACGGGTAGTGGGTCTGCTGGCTTGCGGCACCTGTGGCCATACTCAGGAAACTACTGCACTCTGTTGTAGTGCCGGCACTGGTGTCGTGGTCAGGACTAGCGGAGCCCACGGGGCATTCTGCTGCAGAAGGGTGACTGGGGTCACTACTGCCTCTGATTGAAGGCCAAGAGTCTGTGTCACTCGCGTCAATAATCACTTTGTCCCAGGTGTTGGCACTGAAGGAGCTGTCAACAGGTGAAGATGCTCCCCAATGAGAGGTCTCATGCTGGGCACCCACGCCGCTCAGTGGGGTATCTGTAGGACAAGAACACATGTGATAAGAACTACAAATACATAAAATATAAGCTATTAAATAGAGGGGGTGGGTGGCAAATGGTTACACTACAGAACACCAGAAACCATGTTTCATGTCTGGTGTGTTTTTTATATAATTTTATGAACAATTTAACTTCTTGGTTGGTTAATAATGACTATCAGATTTGACTAGATGAGATGGTCACATGTGGTACATCTCATAATCCAGCTCATGATCAGCACGCATGGCCATATCCACATGCCCTATACCTTTAGTGCAGTCATTTTGTGTCAGCATTTTCTTACAGTACTTTTTTACCATGTTTTCACACAACAATTGTAACTAATTTACCAACTTTGTATTTGTGTCCTTTCTCTCAAAGCCCTCACAATTTCCCCTCACACTTTAATTCTCCCTCTTGCTCTCCTCTAACCCCCAGTGGTGAGAGGCCCATCCGTCTCCATCGTGGCTTCACTGGCTCAGGCTGTGAAGGGAAGCCCAAGTGGAACGCCGCTCATTTATTGGAATGAAACCAGGACGACTCCTCATCCATCACTCCCTACGCTCTGCTGACCCTACTCCTTCCAACCAACAGCACAATAAAATACATAACAAACCTTGTTCTGCTTGTGAACATGCATGTGTTAGTAGGATGTTCCATACCTGCATACAGTATACACTTGTACCTGAGCCTCTGAATGTGTAACACTTCAAACTCCAGTACATGCATCCAATTCTCTAACATTGGCATGCGTAAAAATGTATGCAAATTAAAGTTATTTTCTATTCTAGTTTTTGAAACCTTGAGAGGCACTGGGCCGAGATAAACAGATATTCTCTCTAATAGATATGCTGTTTTAAAATAAATTATTTGACTTTGACTAGACTATACTATATACCACTAAAGCAATTTTTTTTTTGTTTTTGTTAAGGGTACTAATGGGTGGTGGGCAGTGTAATCTTTGCATATTAACCATACACTTGAAGGCACACAGATATAAACCTAAAAACAGATGCCTTAAAGAACATAAGCAGCCAGGCATTTTATTAAACACAAAGCAGCCCTTCTGAGTGTGATCTAATAATAGGCAATATATACTGTAGAGGGGTAATCAATCAGGTGGAGGCAGCTAATCAATGATCTTATTAATGCTAGTGGGCGAGAGAGGGGAGGCTATCGATTGGGCATGCAAACATCCTACCCGCTCGGCTGCTCTCCTGTAATGGGATTGAAAACTAATAAGAATTGTTACTGCTGTTTTTTTTTCTTTTCACTTTGCAGATCCACTAAGCTCTAAAAACAATACAGCAGAAGTGTGTTTTTATCTCATCTATCTATCTCAAAAGACTCATCCAGAAACATCTGCTAGGCCTGACATGGTAACAAATTTTGAAGTGTGATATGATGATAAACAATAATACTGACAACAAACCATAAAGCAGAATTTTCCAGAAAAATATGTTTAAAATATATTAGCTGTACGAGCTACAATACACAACAAATGAAACACTTACTAGCTACTTTATGTCTATAATGAGTAATATAAAGTTATTTATTCAACCCTCTACAGCTCAACTCTTAGCACAGTGCAGACAAATAATAAAAATTTTCCCTTTAGTACAAAGAAAAAGTACCACGATAGATATTGACCTCCAAAAATGTTTCTTCCATCTGTCATGTACTGAATGATAAGTCGAGATGGTAATTGTCGTGACAGGTCTAATGTGTGCAGTAGGTGATGAATAGGTAGAGCGAAATAAACATCAAGCCAGATTTGTTTTTAAGGACACATACAGGGAGAAGTGGATATGTAGCTTTAAGATACTACTTAACATGCCACAGAGTTTCTCAGTGCAATTTTTGCCACAACACTTATCTCCAGTCCCCAGGCAGCCTTATCGCACAGGGTCGTCAGACTGATGGCACACACACCAATACACAGTCTACTTCTCTTTGTAATAGACTGCTCATACTAAATAGAACCACAAAAGGTCTCAGAAAGTACATATGGTGCCTGGTAAAAACTGTGCTGAAAACAGGACTAGAAATTTGAGATCAGTCGATGTTTTTTTCCATAGTTGATGAAGATTGCTTCAAATCCAGAAAAGCAATGGTGGATAAGTGCAGATGATTTTTTTGGCTGATATGTGAGGCCGATTTTGATTATTTTCCCACAAATGTAATTTGCATTGACTAGAATACTCATACACAACCTTGTTTTACTACAAACTGGATAAAAGGGCATTGTAGTTAAGTGTTCACACAAAGGTTTATACATATCTTTTGGGAAGTTGGTTGACCCAAACAAAATATCGGCGAGTGCTGGAGATTTAAGGCCAATCAAAATCTGTCCATCACTACTAAAAATGCAAAGATACAGCTTAATATAATACTAATACTTTGAGGGGGTTTGAGTGTCACTGAGAGTATTGTTTCAAAACATGGCTTCCACATGGAGACTGCAATAATGGAAATGGAAAAGGAAGAAAGAAAAAATTGTAGCATCCAATATTCCATAAAGGTGCCTGTATTAAAGGAGCATTGAGGATGGGCATGAGCTCCTAATTATTAGAGTAGCTGCCATCACAGAAGTGGGCAAGTAGCCAAGAATTAAATGGCTCCCCTCCCCTTTGAATCAGATGAAAGGCAGAAAGAGGGAGAGGGCATTTGGGAGGGAGGGGAGAGAGGGGGCAGTTTGAGGGGGTTGGGCTGGCATTTGCAATGAAAAGTGACACACAAGGAGTCATGCTGTCAAAAGAGAAAAGATTTTCTATTCAATCTATGAAATACATGCATACTCCCAAGTCATTATATTTATATTCACTCTCCAAATTATAGTCTCGCTGTTGACTTTGGAAGGAACCATTACATTTACTTAGATCAAAAGCAGCTGCACTTGTTTTTCTAAAAGTGCGTTGGGGAAAAAAAAAGATAGGACAGCCACGAGAGGGTTTAAAATCTCATTGTCCATGCCTGTTTACCTGGTGCACACAGGGATAGAGAAGAGAATGGAGTGTCCCCCTGGTTTCTCTGACAGAGCTTGGATTAATGAAGCCACTAGGGGCCCCTCTCAGTTCTCAGTGAGGAGCGCATGGGGCAATCCTCACCTCTCCTGCTTCATTAAGACCACAGAGAAGTCATTATGTGGTGATTTTCAAACACAAATGTCCACGCTTTAAGTGGTCCTTAGTTCTACATCTTAAAGCATGAAAAATTTAACCTACAGAAAATGTTTGAAATAGGATGGCTAAACGCTCTAATTCCTGCCACAGGCAATATTCACTTTCATTACAAGAGAATCTCAAAGAATATTAACTGTTCATTTATCCAAGCAATTGTGATGATAGTGTACTGGTGGTAATATGTGAGAGGCATTGATAGGCCTGTCAGGATCACACATTTTGAAGCATGATATATTGCTACAGAGATATACTGCAATAATACTGAAACTACTTTATGCCACTATCACAAAGCAGGATAATTCCAGTTAACACATTTTTAAATAGGCTACATCAATAAAAAGCCTGAGCTGCACCAAACAAAATGGCAGAATTACATAATGATTACAATAATTTACAGTAATTTTTTCTAGTCTCTTTTTTCTAATCTTACTGTATTACATAAAAATCTCCCCACTATTGCAAAGAAAAAGATAAATATTGAGCCCCAAAATATATTGTTCCAGCTTTCATGTATTGAACAATAAGCCAATATTGTAATTATCGTGACAGGCCTAGGCACTGTGCTATGCCTATGAAAGGTTTTCAAAAATATTACGGATAATAAATATTGATTATGAATAAATGCTTCAATGTGAGGGTATAAACAATATTCAAGTTCAAGGTAAATGATTTTTAATGACTTTGACTCCCCTTTAACAATGTCACAATGACAGAGAATCCATTCAAAGATTCCTGTGAAACTGAAAATATATTGCATGGCCTAATTTATTTTTTAAGTTGATGCATTTCTAGCAAATTAAATTATACACACAGGTAGAGCTATAATGGAAAACTATATTTGTCAAGACATAATTAATGTGTTTATCAAAAGTATGTAAATGAAAGGCATAATCTAACTGCTGTCTGGCTGAATCTCTGGCTGAGTGACTGGCAAGCAGCTGTTGGGCTGAAGTTCCCACACTCTTAAGGGACCCCCACCACAGCACCTGCTCTGGGAGTCAGTCTGGACGCCTGCTGCTGCAGACTTTTTAATGGCCTCCGTCATCTGGAGGGATGGGGGCCGAAGCAGAGGAGCGTCTGCATTAGGGGCAACTGTGTCAGAGCAAAGGTGGGAGTGGTGTACCCTAAATCATCTGAAGGTTTTCAATACTTAAAAAAAATAAATCAGAAAATGTATTCAAATAAACTATGAACCAGTTGAACTTGGCTCCACAGAACGAGATTTGTCACACTACTAGACTCAGACAAACTTTATTGATCCACAAGGGAAATTATTTCATCTTTATTTAATTATCATCAAAAACAATTAACAATATCTTTCCCTACTTTCACTTCTTCATGGCATAAACCCCCAGGCAATCAAATAAGTGAAAGCAAAAAATTATAACCTGCACCATGAGTAGCATTATTCCTAATAGCGACCAGCTAACAACAACCTACCGCCTATTCATAAACAACTGAATGTGTGTACATATTAAATGTTTTAACTTTGTCAGTTGAATTGGAGGCAGCCACTTGGACACAGATCAGAGGGGACACAACTAGGTCACACTGCTTCTCCTATGTTGCCTCACCATCACGGCACATGTGCTTTATATTTGCACAAGTACAAATGTGCAGAGTAGCTGAGCGAGTAGTGACAGAGATAACTGCCTGGGGCACAGCAACCTCAACAGTGAGGTTAGAGATTGTCCTTAAAAGAGTTCATGCTTCATCTAAAGTTATGTGAAAGCTGAACGAAAGAGGAAAATTTCATTCACACAACTTAGAAACAATATGTTATAGCAGTGGGTTTAAACAGTGTCCACGTTCTAAATTATTTATGTCAAAGTAATAGCAAATGCAGGGTCACCAGCTTGGGGCTATTAGCCGATCAGACAGGAACAAACAGACTGCAGATAGGAAACCCTGGGGACAGGCTGAGGAGAGAGGGAGGAGCTTATACTTTGCCACAGGCTATAATGTACTGAGAAGCCTTTGGGAAATACTGAGCAAAGCAAAGGCCAAAAAGGACAACCACTGCTGAGACTGGACCATCATAAGGACATTATAGGTTAATACACTCCAGCCTGGGAGCTAAATAGTCCGTAACCCTGAAGAGGATTTTACTCAGAAATGCCCCGAAGGCCCCACACACCCAGTAAGAAACATTTAGAGCTATGGTACTGGTGACATGATTATGCATAATTAGAATAAAAATATGAACATGAGCATATTTATCACATAACTCTGTGCAAGATGGCAGAATTGCCATGGAAAAATTGCTAACTTACAAGTATTTCTTTAACAAAGATTGTAGTTTTCAAAGTGTATAATTTCACTGTAAAGAATGAAGAGGTGTTCATTTACAGTTTTCTGATAAGTCTAACATGGTGTATTCACACTGCACCAGTGTCTATAATATGGCACCATTAGGAGTGATAGTGACATCTTTGTGTTTTTGCACATTATCAAACAGATGGTTCAAAAAGCTGTTTAGAACAGAACACTATCCTCTGATACAAGAATATCACACAATCTTGGAAGGCGCTGACAAATGCCAAAGAAAGGAAATGTACTTGCTACAGTGTGATGAAAACCCTACCTCACTGCTATGTTAATAATTAATCAAGGTGAAGACAAATAAACTGGGATTGTACTGAGTACAATGAGCACCCCCAGGCAGACTCAGCGTCAGTGATCTGGGAACACAAGTGAGTTCATTAAAAGGCTACCGCTGGCAACGCAGGTCTGCTGCGTGTGCAACTGAATGTTCAGGCTAATAAGTGGACTGACTGTGGACGCTTTGTGTAACCTAAACGAAATTCAAAAACATACTGAAAACATGCGTAAGACCAAGACAGCAGAAAACATCACTCAATATGGCATTTTTGTTCTATTTCAAACAAACCTGTGAGCCTCTTGCCCGCGGTGGTGGTGGCAGAGTTGATACTGCTGGTAGCAGTGGTAGAATACGTTGAGGAAGAGGGGAGCGTGAGCACACTCAGAGCTCCGGGAGGCAGAGGCTGCCCTCTCTTCAGTAGCTGCTTCTGCTCCTGTTGGCGAAAGCGCGGGGGCACCTCTCTGGGCGGGTAGCGAGCACTGACAGAGGACAACTGGCACTGCGGCGAAGGAGAGGTCTGATTCTGGAGCTGGCCAATGGACAAGGCAGACTTGCCATTGCCGAGAGGAGGAGACGAGGAGCGGGTCGCAGGGCTGGCTGGGCGGAGATGGTGGCGGGGTAAACCAGGACTGGTTTTAGTAGAAGCAGGCTCTAGCACTGGAGGAACAAAGAACCACAGACACAGGGAGCAAGAGGTTAGTTTCTGTGTTAGCAACATTCACACAATTTATGCTCATCTTCAGGCATAAAGTAAGGTCATTTTGGTACAAACGTTGGTACAAAGGAACATGAGTCAATAAACCAAGTAAAAACAAATGTGCTATTCAGTACATAGTTATAGAGATGTATGGAGGTCAAGAAATACAACTGACAGTGCTTCCACTAAGGCTTCACTAGAACACACGGAAAAATGTGAAATTTACTTTGAACGGGAGACAAAGATATTAAAATACTGATAGAATATTGGACCAGGCAGCCAACTAAATGGGTTGCCTGTTGCTGCAATTACTGCAATCACCAAAAGTGAAATTTGGCCATGTTAAAAAATAAATGAGCCTTTCATGGTCTATCTCAAACAGTAGGAAGTGTTACAAATACAAGTTCATAAAATTAAAAGTAAGCTTTAATTAAATGACTAACACCTGCTCCAGTGTTGGTGAGGCACAGGTGGAGATAGAGAAGTGATTGACATCAAATGACACTTAGTGTGCGTCGCCCTATCTAGAGTGTTGTTGAAAATGATGTTACCAGCTCTGACTGTACAGTGTCCACACACCTCCTCTCTTCATTACACACAGGAGGCTGCTGCTTTGGCCCTGCTCTGACCCTTTACCCTGAGGTTCCTTTAGACTTGCGAGCCATCTAATTAGGTGTTCTTCTCAAATCTGCTGGCCAAGACCTGAAAATCTTACAGCTAAACAGATTGGCTAAACCATCATACAGACCTAGACAGAAAGGCCATATGAAAAGTTCACTGCAGTCCCTATTGACCTGATCCCTAACCCTAACCTGTGACACTAGTGCAAGAGGACCAGACAAGGACAGTATAAGAATAGAAGCTCAAAAAGGTGAACTATAGTTGATAGAAATTATTTTGTCCATGAGTCGGCAGTTTGGAGTGAACTATGCTCCAATGCTGCAGTGCTGGCAATTAGCCACATACTGAGGTGACACAAACAGCCTGATAAATTCAGAGCACACAGTTGTTTGCGGTGCCTGCCAAGAAGCGATTTTCTAAGAACATGGCTAAAAACAGAAAACAGGGCTTCTCAGTGAGCAACCCATTCAAATGTAGAATATAATAACTATGAGATATTTTATTTTTTATACAAATATACCCTTTTTCTGAAATGAAATATACATTGAAAAAAAACAGAGCGGCTCTTTGATGTTACCAAACAAATACAGAGAAGGAACAGGAGAAAAAGCTCTGGACTCTCTCCACCAGGATCACACTGGTGTTTCACTGCTGACGCACATCTTTGATTAAACCCCGCCTGACACTGCATCGACCAATCACGCGGCACAATGGTGAAGACATACTGCCCTTCCCCCTCCCCTCATTGCACTACCATCCACCCCCTCTTTTTGGGCTGCTTATAGTCCCACTGTTCTGCTGCTTGCAAGGTTTCCCTCTGAATGTGTTGTTATATAGGTTATCCTTTCTCAAGGTCTCTCTAGATCAATCATATCCTGCGCTGTGTTTGGTATCTGTCATTTCATATTGCAATCTGTCTTCTATCAGCACATCTTTTATAACACCCTGTGTTAGCTGCACTATTGGTTTGGGCTTTCCTGTGCTGCCTTCACCTTCTGATGAAATTAGGTTTGAAAGCCAGCCATAGATCTTTCAGATTGAGCCCCTGGGATATGTGCAAACTAGAATTAAAACTGGACGTGTAAAAAGTGTATTATAATCTTGGTCTACTCACCAAGTTGAAACATAGACTGAAGTTTTTGTTGATTTGATGTCCACATAAAGCCCATAAAAGGAACCAAATTAGTTAAAAGTGTTAATGTAACTAGAATTAGCTGGATTAAGTGTCTGTGTAATTTTAGCAGTAATCAACAATGCTCAACAATCAACAATACTCCTCATTTTCATCAAGAGTTCTGTTATCTTCCTTCTTTCTCTAGTCTCAGGTGTCCCATATTGAGGTGCAACAGATGTAAACACTCCTTTATGCCTGCAGCTAGTTTCATCTTAAACACTGATCAGGGGAGGAATCTACTTTCTTTTGAATGATGGTCATACTCTGCCTTGTTAACCTGCTATGTTGATAGTATTTATGTACAGTGTTTGAGGTATCCTGTGGTGAATGTTTTTTTTTTTAATGTGAATGTCTTTTCCGCTTTGGTGCAAAATCAATTAGATCATTGGCGATACAAATGAAGTGAAGTTGAAGTTGAAGAAGGACATAAGTGATTATGAATACTGTGTTGGAACGAGACAGCAGAAATGTCATGGACTATACTGAAAGTGTGAAAGGGCCTTTTATGTTTGAATGGCTTTTCAGTTTGAGATTAATAAGGAGTTTCGAAGTGTCATTTAACATTTTCAAGGTTTTATAGAAAATATGAAATTGTATTCAAAGGTAATAAATCCATCTTCAAGTAGGAGTTATGAAGGGCAAAAACGCACTATTACAATGTAAACATCTTAAAATGTAATCATTTGGAGCTACTGTGTTCTTGCCTTGAAAGCTAAAATTGAAAATAGGGCACACTCTGGACTATCCATCTCTAAAAGAAGGCTGAAAAGAGAAGCCAATTAAATGAGTATTTCCAACAAACGCAATGAACATTTCATTAAATCCTCCAGCTCTCTACAACCTCGCACCAAACTTTTAATTACAGCCCTTCTTCACACTAAATGGTTAATTACACCCAATGAAAATGAGCAGTGAAAAAGCAATAGCTGAAGAATGGAAACCCAAGCACGCATAGATGAAGGCGAGCGCATACAGTGCAAAGGGACTCAGACATAGGGGTTGGAAATGCACAATACTGTGAGCACTGTGAGAGATGGGGGTAGTACATCTCTAATTGGTTCCTGGAGCCTGCCTAGTGCCAGGCAGCGAAAGTTCCCACACCTCCGTTGTCTATTGTCTGCCTCCAATTTAATATGCAGTCGTGTTTATAGAAGGGGGAGGATAGGCAAAGGATAAAAATGCATGTCTGGACTACAAGAAAACCTCAATGCTTTCTGAGATATGTCCAAGAACAATCCTGTGAACAAAATGAACACAGCAATAAAAAATGAGCAAATGGCCATGGCATGATGTGTAAGGGGAGTCTTAAGTCACAAAGGCCAAGGTGATGCCTTTGACTTCTCTGCATATGGGAGGGTCAAGTGGTCGCTGCTTTACGTGCTACCATCTGTCCTTCTCGAGGAAAACACTCCCCTCCCTTGCCTTACACACACAAAATAAAGCCTCCCCTCACCCCTCCCCGTTGCTATAGAGACTGACAGTTGCCCACCGCACCTCCACATTTGCCTCCTGTGACCCCTGCGCCTCAAGTGACCTCTCCCATAGTAGACCTCCCTCTCTATCCGCACTTACTAATTAGTGCCCCCAGCCCCGTCACCCCATGCCAGCCTTTCTTTTTCACTCCAAATTCTCCATGTTAATCTTAGCGATACCTCCTCCACTGTCTATTAGGATTACGACAGCCCAAGAAGCTGTGAGCTCTAATGGCTGTTAACACTGTGGGTATAGCGCTTTAACAGGATCACTGCGCACCTACATTCAAGGTCCTGCCTGGGGCCACCTATCGCCTGAGGATATAATGCTTTTGATTTCAACATGCTAGTAGAAAGCCTGACATTTTAAAGCCTTAAAATCATATGATCATATTACAACCGTGTTTCATTTTAAAAAACTATACATTTTTGTTGCATACTTCTCATTTATATTAACTTGATTGGTGGTATCTGAACAACACTTGAAATTAAGTACAAATGTATTTAAGGATTCTCAGCCCTCACCATCATGCTGGAGGTATGAGTATTTTCTCATGTTTCTCCATTTGCAATCTGTCAGCCATCTCAATCTATAAATAAATCTGTCTACATGCACATCACAAAATGAAAATTTATACATGTTCTGCCCTACTGACATTTTGTTATGGCAACAGTAAAAATGGATTTTATTGTTTCTTGTTCCACACACCTCTATCAATTTTTGGTATATTTTATATTTAAAGAGAGACTAAATCAGCTTGGAGGAAAGAGCCTATAAAAGAACAGGGTACCGGAGCACAGCCTATATGTGCAATCTTTAACATGTCAGGCCTTTACAATCTTATGATCAATGCCATACACCTCACAATTACAGCAGAGACTGAACCATCATTTATACGAGTGGAGCTCCGCCCATTAATCTACCCCATATTTTGATTTATTTGAACTCAACTTGCAGTGACGATGGAGGAGGGGCATGGGGTAGCAAATGAGCTCTCCAGCCCAGACGCCTCTGTGTGTGTGACTAAGACCATACAAAAAGAGAATGCAGAGGAAAGCTTTGTTCAAGTTTATGCATTCCTTATGTTGCCTCTCTCCATCTGTCACCCGCTCACACACTTGACACAGGCTGGATGGAGGGATGGGGTAGAGGGAAAAAACAATTATGCCGCATGTCATAAATCCACACGCAGTAATTCACAGGCTATTCACTGGTAATTCATTGAGTGTTTGTAAATGTGGTTAACACAAGAGAGAAGCAGCCCCAATGCTAAAGTAAATTAGCCTCTAATTACTGCAGATTGCGATTCATGAAATTCGCTTTCTAAAGTGTTGACACAATTAATAGCATGTGAAATTGCAAATTAATTCAATGCGGAATTGTACGCCATGCTCCTGTTTATGTGCGTCTCGTGCCTCTTTGAAAAATACAATGCTGTTATCTCTGCGGTGACACTGTGAAAATGCATTTTACCCATTTTGCAGATGTGGAGTGTGCGGTGAGAAGCTTTGTTTTTAAAGCTACAAAGTGAATGATCTAGAAAACTTAAGACTACAGATTAGTTTATGACTACTGAATTTGGCAAAGTAATGTTAAATTACGTGTGTGTTTAAATCAGAGGGCAAGGAACTGCATCTGTGTGCAATATTATCATAAGCAAAACTCCAGATATGTGCCTATTTACCAAAGACTAATAATCAAGGTCCTACAATTACTTCAAAAACAAGATTATACATTTATTATTAGGTTAAAATTTGGTTTTATTTGGCTTCTATAGATTCTGACATTTTGACAGGAATAAGATGCTATAATATAAATAATAGCATAAATATAATATAAACTCATATATTTGAGTATTATTGTTATTATTGCTATTAGCACAACACTGCACTGCATATGCAAGATAAGTTTACTTTTTACAATGATGATTTTCTTAATGTATGTGTGGTAGCTATAGGCAACAGTAAAGCAGATTCACAATATAATGTTGATGTAAACATACAGAGGCATGCATCTATACATGTTTTTTTAACACTGATGTGCATAGCAGGAAAATGGACTGATTATGATTGAGGCCGCAGCTGAGATGGTGATGAAGCTTGTATGTGGTGGGAAAGAATAATCAGCATCCCTTGGAGCTAATGGGGTCCAGGCTGGAGGGTGGGAGGTCCACTATGAATGTCTGCATGTATGTGTCTACACTGGGGGGAGGCGGGGGTGGGCAGTGGGACAGTGGCTCCTGAAACCCCGTCTTCTATAGAGCTCTATACCTAATGGGGGGCAGAGAAGTTAATTCCACCGCGCCGAAGCTTTATCTCATTTTCATACATATGAACGCACAAGGCCGAGATCGATTACCGCCAACAAATTGAAATGCTTGGGACCGGGCAGGCCTGTAGAGAGGAAAACAGCCAACGTGTGGGGGGTTGGCAGCGTGCATGTGTGTATGTCTATGAAATTCTCAGTGCATAAGAACGGCAGAATTCAGTGATATGGATGAAAAGACACAAATCACTCCTGCATACTGATTTCCTGCATAGACACACATGTGCCCACCTCCATTATTTAGTGTCACGCATGAAAACTCAACTCATTCCAGTTGATGCCGCTTCCCTGGCAGAGATAATGCAGATGGGAGGTTAGAAGCAAACTCGCGGAGGTCCTGATGGCTTACTGAACGATTAGTCCTCAAACGGGCACTCTTTCCTTCTGTATCTTTATCAGTCTGCACATACGCATACACAATCAGTTTCCAATTCCCTGTCTTTTGCTCCCCCTATCTGCCATTAAACATACCATAAAATAAATGCCCATTTCATTAGCCCTCCTCTATATTAGCAGTGTCATTGACTCCCGACAGTCATTCTTGGCACTGGTCTATAGAGCCACTGCTTCATTACTTTCTCACCTCCCTTCACTTTCTTCATATTAGATTTTCATAAACCACTTCCTCATTCTTCTTTCTTCTGACTTGCTTCTGTGCCTCAGTTCTACCCCCGAGCAAGGGCCCCTGCGTTCCACTTGCGACCGTCAGCATTTCCTATGCTACTGCTGCCAAAAGGACTACAAATGACTTGCCTACAGTGATCATGGTAACTGGAGCCCCCATAATGCTCTGGCAACCCACAGCTGATATTAACCTCCAGTGACCACTAGCTCTTCTTAGGCTATTTTAATAACGTCCACACATGAGAACTTGCAAAAACAAATGCAATTCCACTAAAATATAAGAAATGTAAAGCTTGTACTGAAGCCACAAGGAGTTTTTGTACTAGGCCAGTATATAAATTAAAAGGCCAAACTCACTGTTGCCTATTAAAAACAGAATCACCTAATGAAATTGAAAGGTCAAAGTTCAAGGCAAGCTGTTGTGACCTTTGTTAAGGCCCAACAGTTTTGCTCAGGCTAATAATGGGACAGCCTGGACTAGAGTAAAGAGCAGATGGGGAAGCTGGGGAAGTAGATGCAAAGAATACAGTTGTATCCTTTGTAATATTGTTATGATTGTGATGCCTGATATAATGCACTCTGTTTTCAATAAACAATTGATGCATATTCCTTAACAACTTCCTATACAACAAGTTAAACAAGTATATATATATATATATATATATATATATATATATATATATATATATATATATAACACTAACTTTTTACATGTTTATATATATATATATGTTCTATCTATAGATAGATAGATATAAAATGTATGAGAAGTGAAACTAATTGATTTCAAAAATACATCTGCCATAAATATAGTAAAAAGGAAACAGAAATAGGTCAAAAGTGGGTCATGAAAAGAATAATCAGATATAAAATTGGTCCAATTTCACAGGTTGAATTCTCAAAGCAGTTTTACACCATATAATATAGGGCATTTGTGAAATTGGTTTCGATCATTTTTAGAACCAACTTTATCCTACCATAAAAACATGCCAAAAACAGCAATAAGCACACCAATAAGGGGCCACAGCACTATACAATAGTATTATTACCATCAGTGCTTTATCTATTCAAATCTAGTTTAGAGTGGTGTCTATCAGTGCCTTAAATAAACAAAGGCCACACAAGGACAATCGGTCTCTTCTTGTATTTCACTTCTCTCCACTGGTCCATGCCACCCCCGACCACAGCAGAGCCACGGAGCTGCCTGTGCGCCCTCACGCTTCACCACCCAACGCCACGGGTGCAGTGGGCGTCGCTTTGCATCACTCTCTACAGTATTTGAGCTCCCGTGTTGTTGTATAGCTATTACGAGTCTGTGCTGATTCAAGTGGTCCATCTGTGAACGCCTGACAATATGGGTCTATAATGCATACATAATGTGCATATGTATGGCTTTATGGGTCAGTGTTGCTAATCACAGTTGATTAATGCGTATGAGAGGTACAGTGTTTGGAAATGGGGCCAATGAGAGGGTGCACTTCACTTCATTATCACACTCACCTTTGGCTTTCTGGCCAGCAGCCTGCATGGGGAGGAACAAAAACTGTTTCAGCAAGAAATGTCTACAGAAAATACCTAATATTAGATTGGTCAGGGGACTGAAAAGAAAATACTATACAATAAAAAGAAAAAAAAAATCTTAATACCAGATTAAAAACAAGCAAATCTATCTTACAAGTTTAAAAACATTCAGTTGTAAATGTCAACCAAACTCATAACTCTGATGCAGCTAAGTTTGAGAAAAAATACCTTTTTCTGAGTAGTTTCTTTCTTGATCTTTTCTTCTTGTTTTTTCCTTTTCTTTTCTTCCATCAAACGGTTCTCTTACTTCAGTTGCTAGCTTCTTTCAGCTGCAAAGAGAGAGAATACAGACTTAAATAAAAAAGTGAATGAGACTCCCTGTAGATTATATAAAGGTCTTAAAATCTACCCTTGTGAAGAGTCAGGCTTCCAAACCACAGTCACAACAGCACAACACAGTGAATATAAACTTTCAGTCCACTACATTTGAGACATTTACAAGACTGAGCCAAGTGCAATAATGTTTTCTATCATCACTTTCAAATCACAACAGGCACATCTGAGAAAGCCTTCCACATGAGGCCCAAAACCAGAGAAATCCAGCCCCATGTCAGTCATACAAATAGATGGAGATGTATAAAAATGGTTGAAAGACCGCAGGAAACTGCAGGAGTATAAAACGCTATGAGTCTGAAAAGAATGAAAGATAGACACCATAAAGACCAGTGGACTTTGAAATTGTACTCAAAATGGTACAAGCCTATACTACAGTTAACTTAAAGCTACGTAGTATGCATAGTTTAGGGCTGCAGTTAATGATTATTTTGGTAATCAATTAATCTGGTCATTACCATTCAATTAAAAGATTAGTTCAGATTTTCTACTAAAATCTGACTGAAATTATGAATCTAAAATGAAACTTTAATATCTACTACAAAACATGGATTATCATTAACATTAGTTTTACATATTTCTTGTCTTATTTGATCTTATCCTGTCTTATTTTATCTTGTCTTGTCTTATATTATTTTCTTGTCTTATGATGATGTTTGAGTCATAACATAGAATGCTCTTGGTGTAGTCCATTATGGATTGGCTTCATAAACAGTTGGCTTTTTAAAAATAACATTCTTTAAACCTAAGTACATGACTGTCATGTATCCTAGAACTTGTATCACTGTTTAAAACAAAGGCAGATGACTGAATGAAAAAACAGAATGAAACACAACAGCATGTGACAGCAGATTAATAGAAGGCCCGCCCCCCACTGTGCTGCCCACTGATAGAGCGAGCCAGCTGTCAATCATCAAACCAATGAGAAAGGTCCTCACGGCGACTGTTTCATGGCAGCCTAATGTCTGAGTGACAGTTAGTGCACAACAGAGGCTGAGAAAATGAGCTCGGGTTTACAGTGAGATTGCAGAGAGAGAAAGGCAAACCTGGCAACACAGCAGACCGATGGACTGTAGCAGGGCAGTAAAACATAAAACAGAGAATATTGCAATTTTTCATAATTCCATCTGCTTTTATCCTTATTTATTAAATCTTTGTGAGCGTTAAAGTATGAGAGATGGGTTACAATGTCCCATTTTATAAACCAAGGCGCCTCCGTGTGTCGTTTTGCGACTTCAGCAGTTCATGAGAGGAAGCCCCAAGGTATTACACAGGAGTGAGAGTTATTTGTGGAAATGCAAGCCTACAAGTAATGTGCTCTACTTGGTGTAAGAGTCGATATTCATACATATTTAAATCACATCTTAAATTACCCATATCTATTTATTGCTTCAAATCTGAGACATAAAAAGCACAGACGATGTAACAGAGATGACCTTTTCTACTACACAGCTGACCATGCCATCTTCACTGCCACTCTTCCTCACCCTCACATGACAGCGGACTATCCTTCTCTGGTTACAAATGCCTGTGTTACTGGAGACAACAGGAAATGAGCGTTGGGGAAATTAGGTCGGCATTGAAAACCAGCAACACACACACCAATGTTGGTTTCCATGTTTTGTAGAGACAGTACATTAACTTTAATTTATTTCCTGAAGACCGATGCCAACCTCAACCATAATTACAATAGCCTAACTTTAACTTAAGTCTTAAAGGTGCATCATCTTTCGTATGTTCCATAGTACAGCATTAAACTTGCATTTAATTGAGAATGTTTTTACTGTTTTGAAAACCATGCGTTCTTACTGCCTGCCTCCCAGGAGATGTGTTCCACTGAATGACATTAAACTTCACAAACAAAGCAATAACTCCACAAACACGTGGCAGAACCAACATCAAGAGAGTTACACCTTTAACTGTAAAATAGTTGTTGATCACCCAAATGTACACATTATATTCCAGTTATCTTTTGTTTAAATGGGTGATAGAAACAGCGCGAGTCAAAAGGCCATCTCGGTGAATGAGATTAGAAGTGTGGTCATGGGTGAAACGTGAGCCGGGTGCAGTTGTTCTTTTGAGCTAATCGTCAGTGCCAAAGTTAGCGTCCTCTTTGACAGGCCCTGGCCCCACACACAGTGACCTGCCTGTGCTCAGCTCTGTGGTCTCTGCTGACACAAGCATCTCTGCACTGGTGACCCACACTGCCTTTCAGCATCAGGTTCACCCTCGCTGCAATTAGGTGCAAACATGTCCACTGTAAGGTTAGTGACCTACACGGACACGCCATGTTTTTCTATCTCACATTATAATAACACAGATTCAATCAGTCATGTGGTCATTCTAACCAGACAATAAGAGCACGTGTCTGTGTATTGTTAAAGGCATATTAAAGTGAAAACATTCTTTTTGAAAGGGGAGCGTGAATCAATAGCAATATATTATGTTAATATCACAGCTCTCCTCTGATCTTCTGATTTCATCACAGCAAATTATCTGTCTCTTTATTGTGGGAGATTATTTTTACATCAGATGCCCTTCTTCACACAGCCCTATTATCCAGGCCTGTGACAAGCTTTTTTTTGGAGATTTTATGTATTGCTGTTTATTGCAGCTCTGTGCTTACACATACTTTTCTCATTCTCTACTAATGCTTTGCCTCATCACGCTCTGAGTGAGTGACAAGAGGATTTAACCAATCACATTCAAGTCTGATCTCTCAGAAGTAGCAGTTAGCCTTAGTTACTGCTTAAACGTGATGTACTTAAAAAAAAAAAGTGATAGTATTTCTTTTTGCATATCCCCCACCCCTTCTTGGCAGAGAGCACACTGGCTTGTAACCAGTTGTGGCTGTATGTCTATCCAAAACAACCATTCCATTGCAGCATATTGAGAAAAAAAAGTATTTTAGTTGAACAGAGCAGCAGACGTAGAAGAAAATACCTCAACATGCCAGCATTGTCCATTTTTGGCAGTATAGAAACCGTCTAAATCCAGAGAATGTTGGTTTAAGCTAAAGTGAAAGGGGGATGAGGACAGGAACACGCTGTACAGGAATGAAGGGGGCGAGGGGCTCTGGCTGCACATGCTCTCTCTCACATGAAAACACAGACGATGCACAAGGGGAGGCTTGATGTACACAGGCGGGAGGCAGTCTGTCTGATGCCTGTCTTTTTCTGCCAGAGATGCAGAGGAGGGGGAGGAAGGGAGAGGGAGAAGGGAGGAGGAGGGGGGGTCTGGGCGGAGGATGAAAGCAGACGCAGAGCAACGCCAATTAAGAACGACAGCCGCCGGAGAAGCAGACAGAAGAGAGAGAGAGAAAGAGAGAGTGGAGAGGGGGCGAGATACTGGAGGGATCCTGGGTGGAGAGAGTGCTGCATGTGGCAGGGACTTGATCACACACATACGTATCTAGAAATTGGGAGACAAAAAGTGGATGAGCGATAAAGAAAGAGTGACACGACGAAGCTGCCAGAACAAAAAGAGACGGTGTAAGAAGGGGTTCAAACGGGGGCGAAAAGGAGTGCACCAAAAAGCACGCGTTGGCTTTAAGACGCAAATTATGGAAGAATGGCATTGAAACCACCAAGAACAACATCCCAGAGAACAGCCATTGTGTGTAAAAACCTGTCTTTGTAGAATAAGTATTACATTTTAACTATAAACCCCCTTAACCAGAACTTTAACTGGGGACTGTATAGTTCAACACTAATTGATTTTACCCACTAAAAACTCAACTCAAGACACTTAACTTCAGGTCATAAAAGATCACACTTAACTAGAACCTAACTACTTTCTTAAACAAACACTAGCCTATTATGTATCATTAGCTCAACAGTAAAAGTATAGGTTGGGTCAATAAAAGATCAATAAAAACTACTTCACTGATGCACTAAGTGTTATATGTGGGTGTGTATTTGTGTGTGTGTCAACCTGGAAGCGGCTGGAAAAACAAGCCTGTAAATTCCACAGTTGATAAGCTGTAATGACAATGTTGCCTCTGTGTGTAGTGTAGTGTGTACTCTATCCCTGTTACATTGGCTTTCAAGGCACTTCAGTTTGTGAGTTTTTTAGCACAGTTTTGCTTTCACCGGGGTGAAGAGTGAATCAAATAAACAACGTGGACTTGCTCAATGAACTGTGACTGTGATGTTGATGTGGGAAAAATTAAACAATGCAAAAAGAAAGGTATCTAAATTGAAGAAATGAAGAGCAAGTGTGGCATAGAAGGAGCTATTTATAACTTCAGAACAATTAGTTTGCAGTGTCGTGGCGGCTTCCCCTTCCGAGTCAATATGAAGTTTTAACTCAGTGACAGCTCATTAAATAGAAAAACAGACCTAGGCAGAAAACAGCGGTGCAGTTAAGGGGGACCACGAGCTGTCGTCTAGTGTTTTGTAAGAAATGTTTACTTTCTGCTTATGAGAATATTGCTGTACGTGCAATGCCAATTATGCACAATAGTGGTCCTGCCTCACTATATATTGGCTTCAAAGCAGTGAAATGATTGGCCGTCAGAGATGTGCCATTAATAAAAGAATGAGTGACCTTACATTATTAACCTTGAGAAAAAGGTTCCTCCAACTTTGATCAACCGCTAAAAGTGAATATTATTATTACACACACGGGCTCTTGTTAAATGAGCTCTGAAAGTTCTTTTTTTTTGTTGAATATTTTTAGAAGCAGGGCACCTTTAACCCCACATTTCTGTTCGCTCTAATCGCCATAGTTACCACATGAGCTATCGAGCACCAGCAAATTGATCTGTGTCAATAAGATAATTAATATTGCAAACAGAAGCAAGTACATTTAAAAGACATCTATTCTTAAGATTTCTGCTGAGAAGTTTGTTTACTAGTTTTTAAATCACAGGGCTGATCATGAGAAAAAAATTTACCCAGCTGTGGCATTATGTTATCTGACCAGAGATCTTAGAAATCAGTAAACGTGTTAGTACAGTACTTGAGTGGGCAACTACTAATAGTACCGTGCCTCTCTAATAGTAAACACCCGGGCAGTATTGACTGTGTGTGACAAAGTTCACTAAGGCAATATAACTATTTACAGCAAACAAATAACCATGTTTTAAAACTTCAGTATTTGCCCCAGTGTAGCGCCAGACGGCACACGCTAGTCCTATTTACATAGCTTTAAGGGCTTTGTAAGCGATGCAGAGCCTAAGTCCTGTTACATAATGTGTAATGCAGTCTAATGTTAGTTTGGGGGGAAAGAAACATTGTAAAGTGTTTTTTGTACTACCTTGTGTTACCAGTCTCCTTCTTTACATGTCTCTCCAATGAGCCAACAGAGAGTGAGAGAGAGAGAGAGAGAGCGAGAGAGAGAGCGAGAGAGCGAGAGAGCGAGAGAGAGAGCGAGAGAGAGAGCGAGAGAGAGAGAGAGAGAGCAGAGAGAGAGAGAGCGAGAGAGAGAGAGAGAGAGACAGAGAGAGAGAGAGACAGAGAGACAGAGAGAGAAGAGAGAGAGACAGAGAGAGAGAAGAAAGAGAGAGAGAGAGAGAGAGAAGGAGGCCCCTGTCAAAGCTGCACGGAACATTCCCCTGGACCCCTGCCAAGATTTACAGGCAGAGGCCCCATCCCCCTGTCTCTAAACCAGGCCAGCCTTAACTCCAGTGGGCCCCCAAAGTCCCTGCCCCCTCCATTGGCACACAAGGAGATGGGGGTAAGGCAGACAGCCCCCACCATCACCCATCTTCCAACAGTAATAGAACACTTCTCGTACTGGTCTCTAATCATTTACATAAGACCAAGAGCTGCTGCTGCTGCTGCTTACCTTTTCTTTCCTTTTTACATGTGGTTTAATTAATACAAGTATTTTCTTAACTGATTCATCTTTTTTATTAATGTAAGAAAAGGTTGTAACATGGCATCAAACTATTTGCTAAATTAATACCTAATTCTGGGCTTAATGTAAAAAAAAAAACATGCAGATACATCTTTACACAAAACAGTAACAGCAACAAATCATAATCCACCACTCAAACAAGCATTTTTCCAAGAGAACATGTTGTCTGCAACTATTTTTGGATTCCTCTTACCGTTACCATTATATGCACAACAAGCCAAAAAAAGCAGCCCTCATTTTGCAGAATGACAGCATTAAATACAACATCCAGTGCCCATCCGCCTGACAATGGCCCCGAGTGTGGGAAGAGGGTAATGGCTTTTGGCAGTTCCCTGTTGAATCCAGCTGACTCCACGGTCCACCGTGCCCGAGCAGAGCAGCGCCCTGCGGAGGTGTTAAGCATGTTCTCCATCACCATTGTGCCTCATGTTGGAATAAAAGCCTCATAATCACAGGCTCACTCACTGCCATCATCAAGTCTAGATTCAGGTCAGTAACAATGATTCCAGCATGAGCAGACAATGCTTCCAAAATATCCAAAACACAAAACACAATTTGAAAAAATGAAAAGAAGACAATCATTGGCCTGCATAAAGGAGTGGAGTTCACATGTAGTTTCTGCCAAAGCCAGCCCTCACGGCTTTGTTACAGTATACTCAAATCAAAACAGAGTCCACATGCCAACAGCCCACAGCCTGGTCCGAGCTGAAGCCAGTGCGGTTTATTATGGGTTTCCTGCAAGCCTGCTGCCAAAATGGCAAAAGCAATAATATAATTCATTTTTATGTTAGTGGCCTAGACAGTCTGAATAATACATTTCCTTTTTGAAGGAAAGAACAGTTGATTGTTCACAGTGAAATAGTTAAGACACTGCTGATGATTCACCGTAGGAATGCAAATCTACCTACAAGGTTTCCGAGAGGCTTTCAAGGTAGAGTAGTCCACATTGGTAGTTACCTCAACCTAAAACCACAGTTAGATTTACAACTTGCCCTCAGGCCTCCTGCTGTGTCTGTAGTGACATCCACTAAGCTGAAGTGTCTGGGCAGCACTAGCTCAAGACTCATAAAAATAGAGTCCCCTCCTATGCCAACAACATGCTAATGTTTTTGTCTCTACTTAACTCCAATGACGATCTCTCTGAAAGATGACTGTGATTCACATTCATGCACGATTCACTAACACTTTCACCTGGCTCATATATAACCCTGTATTGTGATTTGCCCACTACAATGAACAGACAAATAACACACCTCTTTAATCCAAATGCAATGTGTGTGCCTTTGCTGCTCTGCAAATGCATATTTCATTTCATCTCCTCACTGGTGTGTGACGATGGAGATAAGACAGTAGTGACAGAGATGTCAGAGTGGGGAAGGAAAGGAGGGTTTGAAATTGAACGGGAAATTATGTACTTCAATTAAGACATGCGGAGGAGATATTAAAGCTATACTCCAGTGCCTGGGGACAGGATGCAGGAAGGAAGCAATGAAAGGCGACAGTTCAATCAGAACCGTAAGGGTTTTTTTTCCTCAGACCAGGGGGCGGTGGAGGAGAGACAGGACAGCCATGTTAAATAATGTACTCTGAATTTAGAGTACAGGAATGTACAATGTTGGGCAAGATGTGATACAGCTATAGCCTGGAGTAAAAGAGATTCTAAGAGCATCACACATTTAAACACTACAAAGATTAAATGAAGCATAGTGAAACCAAAGTCGTCATTATGATGCAAAGATTACATTAAGAATGAATGCAAAGAAAGCACACTTAAAAGCCTGTACCACTCAAATCAGACAGACTGTTCAAGATACTAACAGCACACGCTCACATGTTCAGACTGTGTTTCAGTTCCATTCAGCCAATCATAAAGGAGGTGATGATATAACACTAAAGTTCCCAACAGCTTTGACTTAAAAGGCTTGCAATTCCAACAAAAAACTATTGCCATTACTCCATAATAATCAATATATAATAATGAAATTTATTAAAGTGCTGACAAATATGAAGACATTCACATTAACATGATCATATTTTTAACAAAAAAATACTAAACAACTAAAGTTATCTGGGGGTGTCCTGTAAAAATCCCTCATGATTATGTAAATAGTGCAAAGAACACAAAAACGCATACATTGCAAATAAAGGCACTGGCATTGATACTGGGCAATGCACGGCCAGACATTCTTTAGAGATTAAAATTATGCAGATAGGCTATTTCAATCTCCCAGTGGCAATAATGACCAACCAGCCAACATCTCCTGGTGAGGGTCAATGACATGAACTAAATGATGAAAAGAGGAAAGCACAGACGGTCTAAACTTACCTCGCATTAACCACAGCTTTGGCAGCTTTCACTGAAGAGTTGGTGCATGGCAGAAAAAACACACACAAAGCAATTCTCCCGATATCTTTTCTAAAAAAAAAAAAAAAAAAAAAAAAAAAAAAAAAATACCCGTAAAAAGGAGCAAAAATTCAGTCGCAATTTAAGTCGGACTTGGCAGATAAGCCGACTGATGACAGGATACCGAGGTAAACAACGGCACTGAGCCGGATATACTCACAGCGAGTACGGTAATGTAAGATCGTTCGAAAAATAAAAATTTGCTGTGAAATGACTTTTGTCCGAAACAAACTGTAAAAACGTCACAATATAATGGGGGCGGGGAGCAGACAAGCACCACTAAAAACAAAAACAAAAACCGACACGAATGAAATTACTCAAAAAGCAGCTCAGTTACTTTGCTGGTTGGCGTAGTTAGTCGTCAACCATAAAGAGGTTCTGTAAACTGGAGAAACCAGGCAGTTTTGGGTTAAAAAGCCGATGAGTTCTCGCGTAATAGATGGAGCCGACGGCCGTGACGGCCAGCCAGCTAACTTGGTTTAAAGTGCAAAAGAAATGTTTTTGTTTAGGTGGCCAGCTGCACGACTAGCGAGGCGCTGGCTACCGCGAATGCAAAGTGAGAAACGAGTCCTTGGAAATACATTCTGAGAGGATCCAGACAGCGGAGCGGACAGTCATGGTAGGCGTTCAGCGAGCTCTCGTTGACAGTGATCTCGCAGCCATTTTGTTCAAACTAACAACACCGCAGTCTGCCCATGAGTCTGCCTCTCCTCCTCCCGGAGCAGACACACCAGGAAGTGGCTCCGGATACGTCACTCTAAACCAATCAGCGCGCAGGACCGTCCTCTGGGCACCGCCCCCGACCCGCCCACCACCGGGCTCCAAGCGCTCTAAACTTGACTTGCAGACGAATGGATGGACCAGGGAGGGACAGGCAACATGCCACTGAAAGGTAAACTAAGAGGAAAGAAGACCACGCAGAAGACTTGTAACCTTTCTATACAAAACACTCGCAACCTTACATCCAGCTCAAGCGAAGTTCTTATCATATTGACTTGGAGCAAAAGAAAAGGCTATCTCGACCTTCTATATTAGGTTATTTATTAAGCACAGGGTTTATCTTGTGATAGCATTTCTATTGCATATTTGAGTCTAGCAGCCCTACCACAGAAAAAAAACACTCTGAGGCTCCCAACCCAATATGACCTTAGCAACAATATCTAGATCACATAATGTCCAGTGAGATGGGCACAACTCCAGGCTTTTCAACACATGATTGATGAGGTCGCCCTTCTGGCCTCTGAACCACGTCTGCAGCCAGAGCAGAAAAAAAGAATATGTGGCCCCTGTCCATTCTCTGTGCTCTTTTCTTATGGAAATAACCAGTGCGTGTGCAGACAAATACACAGACTACACACTGGGAACAGGTCAAGACTAGGGTCCACGAAAGGACAACTGACCAGTAAGAACTTTCCCTCAAAGCAACTATCTTCAATACATCACTGGAAGAGACTATTAATGAGAAAGCCAGGGGCCCCCAGCCAGAGCCACCCCCCTTCTTTTCAAGGCAATATGCCCAGAGCTATTAAAGCGGCGAGCTCCAACTGAATGCAGAAAGCAGATGTTCTATCCTCCGGGTTAAGAGAGGTGAGAGCAGGGGGAAATGCCTTTAGAAATGACCTAAGGGAGATGTAATTCACCGTTAAGAGAAACAGTTCGCAGGAATTTGTCCCACCCATATAGACAACTTTACAGTGTTGGACTAGACTTATTTTTTTCAAATTTTAGGCCATTTCAGGATAGTACCAAAAGAAGGAATGCCAACACAAAGAATAATATGTTAAACAGCTCTCCACAGAGACAGAGAACATTTAAAAGTCTAAAATGTGTGATCTTAAGAATCGTCGGAACAGTGTCTAAGATAAAAACTGGTGCGCTTATTGCAGCTTTGCACATGCACTTGCTGCTTCCTCTACACATTTTCTCTTTCAGGTGTTTTGAAGGTGTTTTTTTTACCTCACAATTCCCCTAATTGCTTTCACATTTAGGCAAACTGCTGACAGAGGCAAGCCAATAGGAAAGGTCTGCCTGACATTCAGATAAGAAGCAGCCCAGACACAGACTGCTACCACGGCACAGGCAATCGCTCACTACACTTCTCCTCACGCTCTCCTCCTTTCCTCTTCAGCACGCTCTTCTGCTTTTTGTTTTAATTCCAGACCAATCATGGGCTGCGTTCCGCATAAGGTTTTAATTTCAAGCTTGTGCTGCCAAGAGTCTGCCAGACACATACACATGCACTGAGGACTCACACTGGGAGACTTGAGCTTTTAGATCCATTGCATACACCCCACATATACATTCGCTATTGGAACATCCACACACACTTATGTTTTACAGGGCTGCATGCATGTTTAATGCTTGTACTGATTTTATCATTTCAGCATGTCTCCCATGAGAGAAACTAAGTCCATCCTGAAACATTAATGGTCACACACATTCAGAAAAAAAAGCACTTCTTTACATGATTTTCATGATACAGATCCCAGGAGTATTCCAAAACACTACTAAGCTATAACAGTGGCAACAGGTCACTCCCAATTGTAGGGTCATCACATTAATTTATTTACCTAAGCCTGGTGAGTATTAGAGGCTTTCTGGCTCAATGACAATTTAAAGGACCCATATTATGCTATTTTTTCTACATTATATCATTGCTTCCTCACATACTTGGAGTTGTGTTTTGTTTCATTCACACGTTTAACACACAAACCATGCATATTTAGGCTGAGTTCTTCTCTCAAATAGAAAACACTCTGTTAGACATTGTGATGCCATGTGGTCATACAGGAAGTGCTCCACTGTGTTTTTAAACTCAGTGCACCTTCACTAGAATCATTTGTAGAATTTCAGCGCTAGAATTGCCACTTTCTACCAAACTAAAGGTAAAAGGCAGCTGTTGACTGGAAAATCACAGCTTCATGGAGCATTTTGAACTTTCGGGATGCAGATAGACTAATAATGCAACATTACTCACACATGTGTGAATGAAACAAAACTTCAGGCAGGTATGTCTTTGATGAGGTAAAAGCATAATAACATGGCTAAAGCTCATAACAGTCAGTTTTGCATAATACAGGACCTTTACGTTTGAAAGTCATTAAGGATGCACTAACAATCACCTGCAATGCTATGGTAACTAATCCTGATAGACAAGGGTCACAATACACATCTGTTTATAAGCATCTTGCACTGAAGAAACAAGATGTCATGAAATAAATGTGGGGTAAGAAGCAATACACTGTCCCAATTAAAGTACTACTAGGTTTTAACTGTCACAAAAGAAGCTATAGCATGGGTATGTCTGTACTGAAGCCTGCTAGTTCCATATATGTCAACCAAGAGCAGTAAAATAATAAACTGTATCAATTGCAGCAGGTCAGCTCCCTTTAGGACCATAAATACACTTCAAGCACTTAAATCTATTGGTTACCTAGGCCTGCCATGATAAAGACTGTATCGACTTTTCTTTTAATAAATCATAGTTGGGACAATAATTTCTGGCGGGGGTGCAGTATTTAACATGGGCACTTTTTCTTTGTAATTGTGGGGAATGTTTTGTTATTTTTTGTACTACAATAAAATTTGAGCTCTAGAGGGTTAAATAAATAACTTCTATGGTTCATTATAATCTCTAAGTAACTACTAACGTGTTTCATTCTGCTGTTTATTTATTGCAGCTCATGTTTTTTTTAACAACATTGTATATTTAGAATTTTAGATTGTAGTATAATTCTGTAGCAGTAGAATAAAAATACTTCAATATTATCATTTATCATCTGTATATCACACTTCAAATTTTGTTAGCATGAAAGGCCGGTGCTTAACTTACCCTTTACAGAATACATACAAACCAGTGACAAGGAGAAGTACAAATGAGTAAAAAGGCACCTCAATGTGGGTACACTGTCCACTGCAGTCTAGACTTTATGCATGTGAGTAATCAAAATGCAGACAGCGAACTACTGCTGCAATGCTCAAAGTGACATTTCCAAAGGCATGACTTGACATATGCAAAAAGCTGATCATTCCAACAGAGGAGGGAGCCAAACCATATCCTAACTGCACATATCAAGGACAACATGCTACTCTGAGTCTCAGTCTATCTTTGAATCATAGCTGTGTAAAGGGACTGTGTAGCTTTTACAACTAATAATTGGCTCAACTGGCTAAAGGACAGCAGGGGCAACACTGTTCAGAAATAGAACAAAAAGTAAAAAGTAAAAAGGACACAAACGACTCATCCAAACTTTTCTTTTAGCATGTTACACACTTGGTATAACATGCTGTCTTTTGTTATAACAATACAGCCAATTAAAATTTTCATAGCAAATGGTTGACTGATATAGGGCTGAACAATTTCAGAAAATTTCTATTAAGGTATTGCAATTAGATTTACCACATAAAAAAGTAAAATAAAACACAGAACAATTTAGTTCAAAATTTTTAATTTTTTTTAAAATTGAGACTAAAATATTGATTGTTTGTCACTATTATCTATATTAAGCCATAATATATTAGTCATGAAACACCCAAGCCACCATTCACATCTATTTCAGGACTAACCCTCTGATTTATGCAGTTTTGTTGTATAACTAAAAAAAAAAGACAAATAAAGAGCACTAAGCTTAACATATCCCACCTGAGAAGCATACTTGCTAGGATAAGCTCCAGCAACCTAACCCCACAAGAGCAAAAAATGAACGAATTATTGCTTTTAGTAGACACAATTAGAACAAACCCCCCTAGTGGCGTAATTTAATATAACAGGCACTTCAATGGAGAAATTTAGTATTTTTATTTGTTGATCTACACAGTAAGAACTATCAATTCAAATTCACTTTCATAATAATTACAAATGCCGCGTTGAGTTCTTCTTCATTTCAAAGCCCTGGATCATCACAGTGGAATAAAGCATTGCAGTCCATAAAAGGAGGAGGCAACCTTTTCATTAACTTTGATTAAGGCTGTTGAGCGAATTACCCTGAACGGAGAAGGGCATACATAAAAGTCATTAGCCACACA